GTGTGTTGCTCTCAGTAATTTTGTCGCTCAGATCCAATTATCGAGCAGTGCTTTCAAAATCAAGCTTGTCTTGGCTGCAGGGCGAAACATGTTAAGGTTTATCAAGACTCACTTATACTCAATGATGTAGATTATGTAGATTGTTTCAGAACTGATCACTGTGATTCTAGAGTTCTTGGTGTTTTATTTATTTTAAAGAATAACGGAATGGAGTGGATTGCTTTGAGAAGCAAGATTATTCTCGCATTAGCTGAATAGAATGACAACATTTCATTATTCTGTGATATCGCTGAATATCTCTGCAGAGCCTTACTTATTCGGGGTCTGCATAATATAGAAAGATAAATGCCTAAAAAACAATCAGAAGAAAGTGAAGGGTGGGCATTCTCCCATTTATTATAAAAACTTCTCACTTCTTTCTCCGGTGGAAATCCCTGATATTTGTGAAAAGACATACACGACGTAAACAAATAAGCCTACACGTGAATGAATGTAGAGAACAAGGACCTCATTTTAAATCTGGGGGGGGGGAGGAAATAATCTCTAGGTTCAGAATTGGAAATGTCTTTCAGAAATCAATTCTGATGGGAGTAAGAACTAGTAAGTTCAAAAGCTGATAGCATTGTCCAGAATAAACTTTGGTTGATGGTTTCACGTGCCTAATTTTACCCAGCATAACCTAGACTCGAGAGCGTTTATGGCAATATTCCACTAAAGAAATTCTGGTGCCATAAGCATCTATTGGCACCAGGTCTTTTGATGTTCTTTTTGTTGTAGCTTCATCTGTTATTAGCTTTGATAGGCCTGTACGTAATACTGTATTAATCAATCAATCAGAATAGAACTGGAAGGAACGTTGAAGGTCTTCTAGTCCAACCCCCTGCTCAAGCAGGAGACCCTTTACCATTCCAGACAGGGGGCTATCCAGTCTCATCTTAAAATCCTCCAGGGATGGAGCACCCACAGCTTCTGAAGGCAACTTCTGTTCCTCTGATTAATTATCCCCACTGTGAGGAAGTTTCTCCTTAGTTCCAGGTTGCTTTTCTCCTTGATTAGTTTCCCTCCATTGTTTCTTGTCCTGCATTCGGGTACTTTGGAGAATAAGCTGATGCCCCCCTCCTCTTTATGGCAGCCCCTCAAATCCTGGAAGACTGCTATCCTGTCCCCCCTAGTCCTTCCTTTCTCTAGACTGCCACACCCAATTCCTGCAACCGTTCTTCACATATTTTTGTCTACAGGCCTTTAATCATCTTAGTTGTTCTTCTTTGCACTTTCCCCCAAACTCTCAGCAACTTTTTTGTAATGCGGTGACCAAAACCACATGGAGAGGAATAATTACATAATTACACATAATTCCATGGAGAGGAAATTAGTTCCCTGTCCAGAATGAATGGATGGATGGATGGATGGATGAATAAATGAATGAATGAATTAAATGTAGTATTGCTGGTTCCACTTTTCTCTCCTGCCAGAGCTTCTGCCCTTTGCAGATAAAAAGACCGGCTGTTACATATCTGACAATGATTGAATTAATTATTGGAAGATGCATAAAATCCTAACAGCTAAATAGGCAGTTGTTTGGGGAATACGCTTCATTGAAGAAGACAGGTAGATGTAAATGTGATTTTGAGTGGGAAATTGATGAGCGTAAGACCAGCAGAGCCCTGAACAGTTTAGGAAAAATGGTATAGAAATGAATTAGTATAATATTTATGTTGTTCCAATTTGAATGGAGAATGGTGCAGGAGTAATGTTGCTCCTGTAGTATACAGGAACAATGCCAAACATGTATTAGAGAATTGTACAGATAATTGTAATGTCAGAGAAAGTAGAAAAATCATATGTAAAGGATTGTATTTAAGATATTTGTTTGTTTTGGAATAAACTTCCAGATGGGCTTAACCAGGAAAGACGGTGCTAAAATCTGTCTTAGAATTTTTCTCTATTTCTTGCAATGTCCAAGCCAGTGACATGACACATTCTTATATTCATTGTCTTAATTATATTTCTTTTAAGTATATTATTTATTAGACCTCTTTTATGATGACTTTTAGTTGATGATTTAAATAAATAGTTGGGTTATGTCTATTCTAATTTAATGTCCCTTCAAAGCTGTAGAGGAACATTTTCTCCGCCTGTGGACCTGGCTGGTAGAAAGGAATTTGTACTTAGGAACGCCCGGATTTATCTTCCGTGGATGAGGATGATTTGACAGGCAACCTGTCGTTATTGAACTTTCAAGGAACTTCTGTGCAGTTGGGTAACACAAATTAATAATGCGAGTACTATGTTTGAAGGGCTTCTGGTTTGCTGGCAGTTATATACTACGCATTTGTGTATGATATTTCATAATGTCATAAACACAGTGGATATTCAGTGCTTTAATTAAGAAATAACTAACAAGCAAGAGGTCTCTGTGAGTGTGTGGGGACATGGCTGTTCCTAATAGTCTCCCATCTAGGTCTTAATGAGGTTTGATCCTGCTTAGTTTATGATCAATCAATAATCTGATTGCATGCTGACATATACGGTACCTGGACTTTATACTCCCAGATTGGTTTACTATTTTTATTATTTTTATTTTATCTTTGTTGCTTTGATTATGAGTGCTAATAACAGATTAAGAATAAACCTAAGTAGCTTTGTGCAAAGACGATCATTATTATTTATACTACGGTACACTGCAGTTGAATAGTTTGCCTTCTTCATTAATGCAGTGAGAGAGTCATTAAAATGCCTGCTGTTCAAATATTTGATCAAACTTCAATTAAAAACTATGTATTTCAAGTTAAAGGAGAAAACTCTACAGATTTGTAATTGAACATGACAGCTGTTCAGTTTAATTACGAGTGGATAATATTTTTTGGGAACACTTGCTATCAAGTGAGCCACCTAAGGAGATGAGTTGAATGATGAAAAAGGCTGATATCAAAAGTAATTGGTTATTTTCATTTAAAGTTCCGTTCTTTTTGCTTAGATTAAATAAGGTTGATTATTTCACGAGCTAATAAAGAAAAGAAGTATGCACGTCTAGCTGCGCTGTTTAGATTTTATGACAGATGCTTCTGAAAGCATTGCTATTCCTATAACCTCTGAAAGATGCAGAGAGTATATTAATGAGCTGCTTCAAGTGAGGTACAATAACTTTGGTCTTGGATGAAAACAGATGTGAATGGCTCTGTTTAAATATTAAGCGGGCTCTGGGCCTCTGTTGGCTTGTTTTAAGGTGACCCGACAGTATTATATTCAAAAATACCTCAATTAAATGCCGAGTGCTTGACCTTGTTTAAATAGTTGTAATTGATTATGGCTAAAGTATCGGTGGAAGTACTGTTGGTAACAACTCTCTGTCTGACTGAGGCATGTTCGTTGACCTGGACAAGGAAGTTACACACCCTTTTGTAAACGCACAATCCAAGCAACGGGGCAAAATAAAAAACAGTTTAAGAAGAGTTGGGTAAGCAAGATAAAAATGGTAAGATAGGCAAATGCTAAATTAGGAATATTCTCAATTACCACTTTAGATAAAAAAAAAAACAACCCCACTCTAGTCTGTGAGAATAGGCTGTGTTTAAGACCATAGAATGTAAGGAACCTTGGAGATCATCTAGACCAGGAGTCCTCAACCTTGGCAACTTTCAGGCTTGTGGACTTCAACTCCCAGAATTCCTCAGCCAGCCACAGCCACTGAGCCCAAAGTTTCTGCTGCTAAGCGAGACACTTATTAAGTGAGTTTTGACCCATTTTACAATCTTTCTTGCCACAGTTGTTAAGTGAATCACTGCAGTTGATAAGTTAGTAGCTCGGTTGTTGAGTGAACCCAGCTTCCCCATTGGCTTTGCCTGTCAGAGAGTCGCCAAAGGGGGGGGGGGATCACGTGACCCCGGGACGCTGCGACCTTAAAAAGTACGAGTCAGTGGCCAAACTGTGTCTGAATTTTGATCACATGACCCTGGGGGAGGGGATGCTGCAGGGGTCGTGTGAAAAACGATCGTTGTTCAATTTTTGCTATTTTTTAAAAAATTGAGAAATTTATAATCGCTGATCTTTGGAAATACTTAAACATTTATTGTTTTTGAGTTTTCTAAACCCACCCTTCTTATTAGGGCAGCGTCCCCCAAAATAAGAGGATTTCATATATAAAATTTTAGATACTACGTGAGTATTTGAAAGAAAGGGACAATTGCAACTCTTCCTTTAGAGGCTAGGAGTTCTGTATATAAAAAAAACTGAACTGAAAAATTAAATGTATCGGCACAATTTGAATGTAAATTGCATGCAATTCAAGCTTTTGCAAAGCCTAAATGTTTAAAATTCTTCCTGTTCCCAAACGCGGCTTGGAACTAATTTTAAGAATATGTGTCAACCCAATGATTATAATAAGATTTATTCCCAGGTAACTGTATGCTGAATTGTGAATTACGCACCCTCCAGTATTAACACCTGTACCTGTCCTAGTGAGTCTGGGAAGGATGTAAGTTAAGTGTTTTGTCTGTATCTCTTGATAACTATGAAGGTTTCCTAGACGTTGTTTTTCTCTTTTAGCTACGGAGGACTGGAGCTGTTTTTTCATGCATCTAAGATACTTCCCTTTCATAGGCTGGAAATACTTAATTCCTGTTTCCTAACACCTATGAAGTCTAGATCACTTTGGCAGAACTGGTAGCTAATTTTGTGTTGCCCAGGCCCAGAATGGACTTCCGGAGGCGGTATCACACAGAGAACCGGTTGTTCCCATGTTTGAATCCCACCACTGGTCTAGATGATACAAAGAATAATTCTAAATTTGGGCCAAATTTATTCCTAGTTGTTAAGAACGAATAACGTCCTGGAAACAAGAATTAAAGTATTTGAACTTACAAAATTATAAAAGAGAAAATGTTTATTTCTGCCAATAAAGAAGGAATCCAAACCACGATCCTAATCCACTGAGGTCAAGAAAAAAGAAAGCAGTTCTTTGGAAGAGAACTAACTAATTAACCTGACCATTCTTTCCGTAGCCCCGGGCTGATCCCATCCCCATATGTAGCTTCTGTCTGGGGACAAAAGAGTCCAACCGTGAGAAAAAGCCAGAGGAACTCCTCTCCTGCGCTGACTGCGGTAGCAGCGGTAAGTCCCTCCGGCCGGCCGAACGAGAGTCGTCAAGGCATATATTTATATTTGCAAATTGAGGATCCTACCAAGATACTCGAAGGAGAACGTCGTTCCCAGGAGAGCGTAAGTTAGAAAGCTTTCTCCCGCAAGCGTAAGGCTCTCTGAGGTTCTTTTCACCCAAAGGTAGCATTTTGGAATGTCTGCTGTCTGTTTTGGTCTTTTAAAATAATAATAGTATTAAAAATAAAAAATAAAAAAGTTGAGTATGTCATCTACCTGAGACAAGCAGTGGAGTAAGCTGGGTGGGTTTCATCAGATTCACAAGAGCGTTGTTTTGAGAGAGAAATATTCTGTGTTCACAGCCATTACTGGAGCTGCAATGGAAAGAAAAGAGAGAGAAAAAGGGAAATAGTAGAAGAAGGAAATTGAAAGGAAGTTGCTTGGGATAGTGACAAAAATCCAACAGGGTCGTTAGACATGGCCTAGACATTTTTACGCCCAGTAGACAGGTAACCCAGATCGTGTAATAAGAAACTTTTGTCTTTGTTTAAGCCACAACACAGAGTGCTAGATCGGATAAAGTCCATTTTGGCTAAATCCACTGATTCTTAACCCGTTACCTTGAAGTCTCAGACAGAGCGCCTTGGGAAAGTGAACTATTTTTCCATTGGTTATGGGATATATTTTACTCATAGTGGCTCACGCAACGAAGTCTGCATGCCTTTGGGAATCTGATATGCCAGTAGAAATGACCAATTTTATTTTGCGTACATTTTCTTATAGGACTTTGATTTGTCAAAGTTCATGTGCTTCGTGGACAAACTTTTGTAAAAGATAATTTATCTTTTTACGGCTGCATCTGTTTTATGAGGGATGCAGGCCTATAAAATGTAAGAAAAGCCATGCTGGATGAGATCAAAGGCCCATGTAGTCCAGGAGAGAGACCCAGGCAGGATACAGATGTGACATCTGGCATCCAGTAGTTCACTTGCATTATACGGCTAAGTCTCTGGCGGCAGAGCAGATGTCCCTGTTTTTTAAGGCCGAAAGATGTGTGAAGAGAAGCCCTGCCTTGATTAAGGCAGGGGGTTTACATTTTTTTCAGGTTGAAGGTCTTTGGTAGCATCCCAGGCACTGCAGTCTAAGAAATGAAGATTTTAATTTAGAAGTAATCAAGTAAATCACATCTACTGTAGTTAATAGGATTGACCCCTGCCCCCATGTCCAGTTGTTTTCTTCTTGTTGTTGTTGCATTGAACATTTCAATCTGGGGATGGGGTTGCCAGGCAAGATGTGGTGATGTAGTTGTTATTCCTTTATCTCCCTAGAGCAGGGCTGAGCAGCTATGCCCACTTTACCACCTGTGGACTTTAACTGAGCCAAGTTGGCTCAGGATTTCTGGGAGTTGAAGTCCGTAGCTGCCGCTGCCCCCCCCCTCCCGCCACAGCAGGTGCTCCTGGCTTCACAATTCAGTTGTGAAAACAGAAGTTTCTGCGATTTGTGGAAGAGGTGCTTCTTTTCATTCCCTGCAGATAATGGCTTTTTACTACTGATACTTGATGTAATAATCAGTGATGTATCTTTCCTCATAACAATTCACAGTCACTGGTCAGGGAGATCAACACTGAGAATTCCAGTGCTTAAATAAATAAACTTTCAGATACATTATAGATAAAATAAATTTAATTGGTTAGTTAAACGTCATTGAACATAACATTTTGAGACTGGCCATTGAATTGCTAAATAGCTAAATCTTGAATAAAGGAGTTCTTAATAAAATGCAAAAAAATATATCATAACTTATGAGAACTTCCTGGACTAGTGTTTCTATTGCAACAGAATGCTTAAAATGAAGGTTGTACCCCTTGGTTCTTTCATAGGGCACCCATCCTGTCTTAAATTTTGTTTGGAGTTAACAACAAACGTGAAGGCCTTAAGATGGCAGTGCATCGAGTGCAAGACCTGTAGCGCCTGCAGGATCCAAGGCAAAAATGCAGTAAGTAAAATTTTATATCCCGTTCCCACAAGGCCCATTTGGCTCCTCAGGGACGCCTACATAAATACTAGTATTTTCCACTCATATTAGAATGTATACTAATTGTATTTCAGATATTTATATATCACCTTCCCTATAACTATGATCAGGACTGCCCCCAGTATTAAATTATAATAAAATTGTTAACTATCATTACATATTTATCCAAATATTTCATGTACCAGAGATAAATTCCTTGCGTGTCCAATCATACTCGGCCAACAAAGAATATCCTATTCTACATTCTATTCTACAATATTTACATGAAAAGAGTGATAGGAATGAGACCCAGCCAGGTAGCCCAGCTGGTAATTTAATAAGAACTTTGGATCATGAAAGTGCCAAGGTTCCTTTATTTATTCCCCCCCCCCTTCTCTCTTTCAGGATAACATGCTTTTCTGTGACTCTTGTGACAGAGGTTTCCACATGGAGTGCTGTGACCCGCCACTTTCTCGAATGCCAAAAGGTGAGCTTGGCCAAATCTGTGTTCCTCGGGGTTTCGTTCACTTCGGCTGATGCTAGTGGTTCCAAGAGATACTTATGTGGAATCCAGTGTGTGCTGATGATTGAGCACTGTGGACATTTGAAGCAGCTTTCCCCTTGCTTTAATTTACTAATTGCATTCGTAACGCTTTTAAGATTTAGGCAACCCATGGAACCCTCTTTTTAAGGGTCTTGGTTAATGTTTCGATGATCTGCTAAATAGCGCTCAGTGAGACATAAATGAGGCTAGCCCTGTTTAGCTTTGCTGTATGAGTCTTTCTTCCTTATTCTGCTTGGAATACAATCTGGAAACTTTTGCTTCATGTCTGTTTCTGGAATTATGATGAATCTTCAATATGGTTAATTAAGGAAATTGCACCACCTAGAACTGAACTGTTAAACATAAGCTTGATTAACGATAGTTGAAGGATTAGCTAGTATGGCTTCCCTGGGGGGTCTCTTTGCCACAGTTTCGTAGGGATGAGGATATTCTCTACCTTTGTGTTTTATAAAATTAATGGTACTTGGGATTTTAAGATTGCAAAGGAATATTTTCCATTTTTCAAAAGAAGAAAAATGTGTTATAATTTGCTGGCTCTACCTTTAAACTTAACGTGATAATCAGTAGTCTATTCAGCCTTTTACTGCTGATAAGGTGGGCTATATTTTGATTTCATGCTGTTTATTTCAGCACTGGAAATGACTTTTCTTTATGTCAAAGTCTCCTGTGCTGCTCCTTTCTAATACTTTCAGCTGGATAATTAATCAAAAGCTTAAAATAAAAGTAGCTTTTGAAAATGAACAGCTTATCTTGCCAAGAAGGATTTATTACACATATACACATCTGACTAAAAGATTTCTGTATAACACACAGACCGTGAGTGGTACGTATCATCTTTATATGAGCTCTCCAACTAGGGCTGTTACCTTACGCCGTGGTTTCATACTATACGTTAAATGAATTTATTTTGGGTTTTTTTCTTATTCACAAGAACTAACCTGATTTGTTGTGCTGTTTTATTCTGCATTCTGTCCAGTTCTAGAAACTTAGATTGAGATGGGCGGCTAAAAAAATAAAACAAACAAAAACAAATAAAAGCTGTTAATAATGTATTGTTCCTCAGCCCACACTCTGGGCTCCATATTCAGCTACAGGCTTCACTTATCCCTTGTGTCTACTGAAAGGGCAGGCAGACCAACGTTTCTGCTGCTAAACAAGACAGTTGTTAAGTGAACTTTGCCCCATTTTACGACCTCCCTTGCCACGGCGGTTACGTCAGTTGTTCTGTCAGTAACCCGGTTGTTAAGTGAGCCCGCCTTCCCCCGTTGACTTTGCTGGATGGAAGGTGGCAAAAAGGGATCACGTGACCCCCCAGGACACTGCGACCGTCATAAGCACGAGACAGTTGCCAAGCGTCTGAACTTTGACCTCGTGACCACGGGCATGCTGCAGGGGTTGCAAGCGTGAAAAACGGTCACAAGTCACTTTTTCCAGTGCCATTGTAACTTTGAACGGTCACCGAATGAACTGTTGCAAGACGAGAACTTCCTGTACTGTCAACCGCCGTCTTCCCCGACTGTTTCCTCCCGTAAAAGAGACTTTGGTCCTCAGCTTTTTTGTTGCTGAAAAACAAATCTAGTTCCTGTAGGGTGTTGATACCTGCCAGGATGTTTTTGCGCACCGAGCTGGAAATGCATGGATAACACATTGACCTGCATGGTGTGAATACGTGAACTAGAATGTCGCTGTCGTAGGTTGTGTGAAGACGGCGGCCTGTCCTTTGGGTTCTACCTGATGCAGGAGGAACCGTCCATTGTCCCTCCTCGGTCAGTTGACGGGGGAGCCTGTCCCGAGGGTGGAGAGGCAGCAGCAGAATTAATAGGCTCTCTTTCATGTTGAATTCAGGCATGTGGGTTTGCCAAGTCTGCAGGCCAAAGAAGAAGGGGAGGAAGCTGCTTCAAGAGCGCGCTTCCCAGATACGGAGACGCTACACAAAGCCTGTGGGACGACCAAAAAACAAATTAAAGCAACAAATGTTGTAAGTATTCTGTCTTGTTTTTCTTTCTATTAAGGAGATCCCTTCCTTATGATCTTTTTAAAATGAGTTTAATAATAATTTTCCCCATTCCACTGTAAGCTGTTTGATGGATAGACTAGACTAGACTAGGCTAGACAGAAGAGAAGAGAATGCAGATTAGAACAGAACAGAACAGAATATAGAATGGAATGGAATGGAAACAGAAACAGAAACAGAATATACTACAGAATAGAATAGAATAGAATAGAATTAGAATTAGAATAGAATTAGAATGAATAGAATAGAATAGAATAGAATATAGAATAGAATACAGAATAGAATACAGAATAGAATAGAATAGAATATAGAATAGAATGGAATGGAAATATAGAACAGAACAGAACAGGAATAATAACTTTATTGTCACTTTAAATGTACGCTAATCAGCATACTTTAAAATGAGATTTCGTTGCATACATCTCTCAAAGGGTAACCACCTCCAATATACACTGCATAAACATAACACAAAATAAATTATGCATACACCCACACATATGTGGCCCAGAGAAACAACACAGTCCAGTTCGGATGTGTACATAAACCTGGCGAGAAAAAAGCATCTTGCGAATTTACCAGACGGATGGCATAGGGAGCAAAGCTGTTAGAGATGATATTCCTCCTCCTGCTCCTGTTAAACCTCATAGAATTTCTTTTTATTTATTTTTTGCTTGCTTTTTATGGATAGAGACGTACAGACCTATGAGATTAAAATCAAGTTATTTTAAAAACTGCCTTGGAATTTGTTTTATTTGATGCATGTATTCTTTGGCAGAACAGCTTCCTTCGTGACTCAAGCAGCTGACTTGGCCCCCCACCCCAAATTCTTGTTTTCTAGAGCAAGGGGAAATGGGGACAGCATGCCCCAATGCAAAGAGCATAGTAGGGTCTTACTCAGGGGTCTTCTTCCCTGTGGGGTAATTGCTCTTTATCCTAGAGAAGCAGGCAAGTCTGTGTTTGTGCTTAGAATGTGGGCGTTATATTGCCACAGCCACAACTGAGGAGACCAGAAAATTATTTCTCATTATAGTGTTAAAGGGGACAAGAAATAGCAGATGAGACAGAAATACCTTGTGAGTGTTAACCTTTAAGTTATATATATATATCTCAGACATGTCAAACTTGTGACATCATGCAACGTATCGGGCCGGTTTTGCCATTGCCGGCAATGGGGTGGGCGCGGCTTCTGAATGACGCGTCCGGCCCACGGGCCAGCAGTTTGACACCCCTCCTAGATCTAATGCAAATTTTATTCAAGTACTATATGTACAGTATATTTTTCTCATAATTAATACAACTATCTTTTTTGAAAAACCTACTCTATTCCTGTTTAAATGAGTTCCACATTTCAATACCTGTGCCTATTGCAAAGTTTATGTCTGTAGACAATTGGCTTGTAAACGACAAGCACAGTCTGATTTTTAATCTGTTTAACTTTCTGCTGGTTTGGCATCAGTCTTTAGGAAGGGCGTGGAGAATCCATTCCGGTTGTCCGGTTGTCAAAATCCATGTACTGCTTTCTCCTAACACTTAATAAGTATAGGACATTGCAGAAACATGTGTTTTATAAAAGCACGATCCTTATTACATCTTCCACAAAATGCTATTTTGGAATTGTAGCTATTTATTGTGACAACGACACACCATACTATGTTTTTATCTTTGTTGTATTTTTTTTTTACTTCTTTCATTAAAACACTTTTAATACATTTTTTTCTTTTCTTTTTGACAGTATATCTGTCTCCATCATTATCTTTGTGATTTGCTTTTCTTTCTCTTTTTTATTATTAATAAGAAGACAAATCATAAAAAAACTGTGCACCAGACTAGGAGACGGTGAGTTCTAGTTTTGCTTTAGGTGCGAAAGCTGGCTGGGTGATTTTGGGCCAATCACTAGGAGAAGGTGAGTTCTAGTCCCGCCTTAAACGTGAGAGCCTGGGATGGCTTTGGGCCAGCCCCCCTCTCGCTCAGCCCAACCAGCCTGATACTGTTGGGAAAAGACGAGTAAGGAGTATTAGGTATGTCCGCTGCCTTGAGTTATTTATAAAATAATAAAGACAGAATTTAAAAAAAAAATCTAAAAAAGAGAGAAATCAATCACAACTGTAGCTTCATAGCTAATGCCAGGGCTTGACATATTCAAACAGCTCTGTGGAAAGATTAGAAGAGTAACCCATTGCCCATGTCAGTAGCTAATAAACTTAGCAGTACATGAGAAAGAAGACTCAACTATGGTCCACCTTCTTTGGGCCAAATGGCTCCCTTGGGTTGTGACCTTTCTCTTCACGTTAAGACTGTTAATGTCACCTGTCGTTCTTCCATTAAGTGGCCGGAGGGAGGGGTGGATATGCCTTCTATAGAATATTTAATATTCAGCGAGATGTACGAAAGGATTAAATTGATTTGAAGTAATTACAAAATTTTCTGTTGATTTTCAGTTGGATAACTCTTCCTGTCTGTGGATATTCTTACATGTAACATGAACGAGAAAGTGAAATATCCTCCTTTTAATCACTGACACCGTTGAGATGGGTCTGACATTTACTTAAAAAGTGATTTCTTTAACCTTTCAGCGCTTCCTTAAGCAAACTGCGTGTTCTTTCTCACTAAATCTCAGTGCTTCTCACTCATTGCTTCCCCACTTTCTGTTTTCCTTTGTTGTTAATTTTATTTATGCCTCTGTAACTTTTTGCTAGGCTTGCACACTTTTTGCAGTTAAAGAAAAATAAATTACTGTGTTTGCATTTTGATCTTAATGGTGTATAGAACGATATTCTTCTTTAGAAACTAATTTACTTTAAGTAGCGTTTTATGGCTGATATAAAAGTGGTATTTTTGTAAGTAATCATCTCTATGTATTATATGAGAGCATGCTACATTTGGGGTATCACCTTCCTCTATATTGTTTGAATGTTGTTTTTATAGTTGTTGCCTTAATAGAATAAATTGACTTGAAACTTACCTGTTGTGACCCTCTGGATGCGTATTGTAGTTGTAACTATGCTCCGGAGGCAGGATGTAGCCTCACAGACAGTCAATGAAAGCATCCCTATTAGTAGGGTTAAACTGTCCTAATTGTATATTATGCTGGGTAAACTGTATATTGGATTAGGTCTGTAAATTGCTACAGTGGTTATCAAATCAGTGTGGAGCCTCAGGGAGGCCGCTGCGTTCCTGCAGGGTTTTTAAATTCAGAATTGTGCAATATACTGTGACCTTCTTCAGAAAGAACATGGTTTACTGGAACCGATTGACTTCTCGTCATGTCGGTTTGACATTTGGGCAGAATTTATTAGAGAACAGCATTCTGTCACTCTGCGAAGAAAAAACTGACTTCTGGCTATCTAAGGTTTCATGGGACTGGCTGAAAATCAACGTGCTCAGCTTTTTTTCTTAAGCTGCTATAGGCAGGTGTTAGGACTTGGACATTTTAATCCCTTTTTTATTGTTTCTTAATTAGTTTTCTTGCCATGAAATGACTCCATGTGGGGGGGTTCAGTTGATGTTAAAGTGTAGTCTGAATTTAATGTAATTTAACCACGATTAATGCCTATTCTGAGAAAGGTTTTCTGTTTTTAAGAAGCAGCAGAAAATATGGGAAGAGAAGGGATCCTTTTTGTGAGGGATTCCCCAGTGTGCGCTTGGTAAAAGGACGTTACCTGTGTGTGGATCTACAACACCTTTAATGTACAGAATGCTTCACAATCGTTTCATTTTTCTTTTTAATTCAAAAACTTAGATGTGGCTAGCAACATTTCCTTCAAGATTGGTGTTTATTACACATTATCAAAATGAACAAAAATAAAGCAGTTTTAAGAATAAAATTAGCTTCGTCTACAATACTGTGAAGGTTCCAGCTCTGAAATGGAATGGGAACGATCTTAATAAGCTTTTGCCAGCACATTTATTGAAACACATTATGTAAATGAAGTATATCAGTCTCTCTCAACCGGGGCACCTTTAAGAGGGATGGACTGGGGAAAGCTGGCTGGGGAATTCTGGGAGTTGAAGTCCATCCGTCTTAAAGTTGCCCGGATTGAGAAACACTGAAGGACATGACTTAGTCTCCAGGCAGGTGGCCCCTGTAGAAGGATTATTGTACAAGTACTCCTTGATTTGCAACCACAGTTGTTGCTGTTGCTAAGGAAGACAGTTGCTAAGTGAGTTTTGCAAGCGAATCACTGCAGTTGTTAAGTTGGCAACACCGTCATAAGGGAATCTGGCTTTCCTCACTGAAGGTTGCAAAAGGGGATTGTGTGACCTCATAAACCCATGCCCCATGTTGACCAGGTGACCCTGGGGACGCTACAGCGGTCGTAAGTGTAAAACCCAGTCACAAGTCACTTTTTTCAGTGCTGTTGTCACTTCAAAGGGGTCACTGAATGGAGGGTTGTGCTCTGGCAGGGCAAGCCGTTCCCCGTAAGGGGGTCTGCCGGGAACCCCCCAAAGGATTGAGCTTCTAGCCTGGGCCTGTACGTTTGTTGCCGTGAGGGGAGCAGGGGCGCGTGGGGGGCGTGGCTTCTCTGCTCTGACGCTTCTCCTTTCCCTCCGTCTTTCCTCGCCAGGTCTGCTCCCAGTGCCGAAGGATCCAAGAGCGCATTCCCAGGAAGGGGGTCACCTGGTAGGGGTCAAAAGACTAAAGTCTGTACCACACCTTCATCTGCTCATGCTGCACCTGTGAAGGATTCAAGCAGCAGATTGGCTGTTCCAGACCTCACCTGGCCTGGTGCCACCGCCACCAAACTCACCTCCACCATCACCTCCACCTACATACCTGCCGCTCCACTTAAAGTAAACAAGAAAACCCAGGGGCTCATTGACGGCCTCACTAAGTTTTTCACACCGTCACCCGATGGTCGCAGATCACGAGGTGAAATAATTGACTTTTCAAAGCATTATCGTCCAAGGAAAGTGGCCTCCCAGAAACCCTCCTGTACTTCTCATGTGTTGGCTACAGGTACCACACAAAAGCTAAAACCTTCTTCACTTCCACCCCCCCCCAGCCGCCCCCCCTCTCTGGTCAGTGCCCCACTTCACAAACGTCCGGCATGTCCATCTCTTCCGATTCTCCCCAGAGTTCCTCCGGGCAGTCCAGCGGCCGTCCTATTCTCAGCCGGCTTTCGGATGGACCGCCTCCCATCTAGGCTGCTTGGGGACAGTCGCGCCCAGAGGGGCAGCCCCGTTACGCCCCTCCCCAGCGTTGGCATCGTAAAGCAGGCCTCTCCCCCGTGCCCGAGCCCAGCCCTGCTCTCCGTGGGAAGGAAGAGGTCGGCCGTGGGTCGGCCCCTCCTCCCACCACCTCTGGCTGGGCTGGATCTGGAGGTCAGGCTTTCCAAGCAGTGGCTGACTTCGGGCAGACAACTGTCCTTAAAAAGCGGGTGGCTCTAGGCAGGCCAAAGTGTAAAGTGGCCCCTCAGGTGGGGACCCCCTCCCCAGGGAAGGGGAGCTTGGCAGACGGAAGAATTAAGGCTGATCGGGATGATGGTAAGGAACAGGTCCAGGCCCCAACTCAACCTGCTTCCAAATTCCAGATCCAGATTCTTATTTTGTCACCCGGGACTTCACTTGTCCTTGTTCTTACTCCACTCTTACACCGAAGCAGTGATTAAGCACTGATTAACCCCCCTGCCAGGTGCTTCTCCGGCTGATGTTCCCTCCTGTGTCTGTCCTGTGGATGCCGTGGCCTTCCTGGGCTCCTCTCTTCCGGGTCTTGCCTGGGGCTTTTCCTGGTTGCATATCGGTAGCCGCTTCATTATGTCCGATGCCCTTTCTGTGCTTGTGGTCTCGTTTTGATACACTGTTAGGATCACCATTTCGCCATTTCATCTTCCTCTCCTCCATTGCTTTTCCATGGAAAAACGCCCCCCGGCTACCCAACGCTGAATCTGTACGATTGTGAGATTTATTCCTTCTGGGTTTTGTTTTTAAATGCATATTTTCTTTATGGAAAACAAAATACCTTGTATTTGTCTATTTCTAATCTGCTTTTGGTATTTTTTAAGGCTAAGGCAACCATATGATGCATTTTTATATTTAGAAATTCACAGTAATGGAGTAGAGGCATGCAAACTGTAACAGGAAGCACTTTAACAGACGTTACAAGAGACCTTGGCAGCATCTTTTAAGTATTTGCCTGGTGGTTTTTAACCGTCAAGGTACTTAAAATCAATAGATTTATTATCTCAATGAAAAATTCAAAGGTTTGAAAGTAGCAACTGTCCAGGAAGAGAAACAGAAGTTCCATTTTGTTAGTTTAAGGCACTTTTTGCCCTCATGTTGGTGAAGAAATTCTCTGCTGCTTTTAAACAACAGGTACAGAAATCAAAATAAGCATCAAACAAGAAAATTCAGATCTGTTTGTGGTGGGAAGCAAGAACTTTGTTACAGAAGAAGATTTGAACATGTTTAAACAGGCCCAGGAACTGGCGATGGAGGTAAGCAGAAGGGCGGGTGTCGGACACAATCTTCCAGTTAACAATAGTGGAAATTTTAATTGTATTTAATTTAATTTAATTGTTTGATTCTCCTTGAAATCTAACACTGGGTGTGTATTTCTTCTATTAAAAAACCTGGTAATTCTACATAAATTTTAAAATGTCTTAAAAGTGGGTAATTTTATTCTTTCATGTTGGCCTTCTGCATTCTTTCAGAAGTGTAAACTTGAAACACATAATTATATAATATAACATTGATGGGAATTTTGTTGACCATGAGTTTGTCCCCCAGCTAAGAAATATTCTCTTCTTTAAATACCAGCTGTTGCTCTTTGGGCTGATATACTCTATGCCCAATTTTTAAGTCTTTTTTTTTTTCTTTTCAAATAGTTGCTTTGCCTATAACAACTTTTGTTCACTCATCTTAAAATTATCCTGATTGTTTCTGATCAGGTTCTCCTATCCTATGCATTTTCTTGCTTTGAGTTCAGTTTTCTTTTTTCCAAATCTGAACTTTGAGTAAGAAAATTAGAACAAGCTTAGAAACTTTTCAAAGAGAAAAAGTTGTTACAGAGGGCTGAAGAAGCTTTTTGCAGGAGAAGTGAAATGTTTTCAAAGGAAATCAAGAAAGTCCAGTTGCCTCCTGAAAAAGCATCTTTGGGATTATTATAGGTAGTCCTCGCTGTACAGCCATTCATTTAGTGACCAAAGTTACAATGGCTCTGAGAAAAGTGATCGTTCCTCACACTTAGGACTGTTACAGCATCCCCGTGGTCATGTGATCAAAATTCAGGCACTTGGCAACTGGCATGTACTTACGACGGTTGCACCATCCCAGAGTCATGAGATCAACATTGTTGATCTTCCCAGCTGGCTTCCAACAGGCAAAGTCAACAGGGGAAGCCAAATTCGCTTAGGACAGGGGTCTTCAAACTTGGCCCTTTTAGGACTTGTGGACTTCAACTCCCAGAATTCCTCAGCCAGGCTCAGCCAGGCGCGCGTGCCTGGCCGAGCCTGGCTGAGGAATTCTGGGAGTTGAAGTCCACAAGTCCTAAAAGGGCCAGCTTTGAAGACCCCTGGCTTAGGAGCTGCAGTGATCTGCTTAACAATGTTGGCAAAAGTCATAAATAGGACACAACTCAGTTAACAACTGTCCTGCTTAGCAGCATAAATTTTGGACTCAGTCGTGGTCGTAGGTCAAGAACCACCTATACCAGGGCTAAGTAGCCTTGCTACGTAGCTATGCCTCAGTTATTTGGTTGGGCTAAACATTTGCTCTCGGTCCTTGGATACCTGTGGAGATTTCATGTTCCTGTTGGGGTGACCGCTGCCATTTTTACATTCACTCCCTGCAGCAAGGTATCTCCTTTCCTCTAGTAGCAAACAATCCTAGTAGCAAAAAAGTGAAATTGTTACTGAAATCTAGGGGCAGAAAAGGAACAGCCTTTGTACACTGACACATTTTTTAAAAACTGTCGTTAATAGAAGATAGGTTGTAAAAACGGCGGAGAGGTCAATGGACGTTACCCTTCTGTGATAGAATTTGGAAAATATGAGATCCAGACTTGGTACTCCTCACCTTATCCCCATGAATATGCAAGGTAAGAGGACCGCCTCTATATGTAGGCATGCCACATATACAACACAGGGCAATGGAAAGAAAATGTGATCCCTACAACGATGCATTCAGTGTCGTCCCATTGCACCAAATATAGCTGCTACCATTTACAAGACATCTCAGATTCAAAGGCTATGTGAAAGTTGAATTCTGTACTATAAAACTCTGCTCCTAAAACCATAGTGATCAATCAATCAGAATAGAGCTGGAAGGGACGGTGGGGGTCTTCTAGTCCAGCCCCCTGCTCAAGCAGGAGACCCTATATCAGGGGTCTTCAAACTTGGCCCTTTTATGATTTGGGGACTTCAGTTCCCAGAATTCTGGGAGTTTAAGTCCACAAGCCATAAAAGGGCCAAGTTTGAAGACCCCTGCCTTATACCATTTGAGACAAGTGGCTGTCCAGTCTCTTATTAAAAAAAACTCCAGCACCCACAACCTCTGGTGGCAAGCTGTTCCACTGGTTAATTGTCCTCACTGTTAGGAAGTTTCTCCTTAGTTCCAGGTTGCTTCTCTCCTTGATCAGGTTCCATCCATCGTCTACCCTTCTCATACTTTGGAAAATAAGTTGACCACCTCCTCTTTCTGGCAACCTCTCAAATATACAACATTAGTTTCTAGCTCATTTATTGTCATTGAAATAATTTTTAAAATGTGCTTGATTCTGCCCCCCCCCCCCCCCAAACAATAGGTATCAAATTATTTATCAACTATCAGTTGACAAATTATGCCCTGTTACTTGTTGTGTAGGGATGATGGACTCCAACTGAATTAATACAATATTTAAATAGAGTTGTCAGTTGGGAATGTTCCTTTGTGCTGTATATTATCAAATGGGTATTTGATTATGATCAACGTAAGCAGCTTTTTTTACTCCAGGCATGGCAGAATATCTGTTTTAATCTTTCTTTCTGTCTCTTTAATTCACTTGGAAGAAATAAAAGTGAATATAATTTGTTTAAAGCATTTCATACTGATACTCTGATTTTAAACTTCAACAGACTATCAAAGCTTTTCTTGTGTGAATTCTGTCTTAAATACATGAAAAGTAAAAATATCTTGCTAAGGCATGCAGAGAAGTGTGGCTGGTTCCATCCTCCAGCCAACGAGATCTACAGGAGGAAGGACCTTTCGGTGTTCGAGGTAGGGGATGTTCCATTGTCCTCAGGAAGTATTGTGTCTGGCTGGAGATTAGATACCTAGGCAGTATTTCTGCGCTGATTATTAGAATACAACGAGTTGTCCTAAAGGATTTATTGTATAGCTACATATAATTCTTAGTCTTTCCAAATCTTTGGATATTTCACACTCACTGTTTCCAGCAAAAAGACTTCTGCTGCTGTGATGGTTTCCTAGTTCCTCTCTTGACTTCCAGATCAGTTTATTAATATAAATAGCAACAGCCATAGCCCTTAAGACTTATATACCGCTTCACGGTGCTTTACAGCCCTCTCTAAGCAGTTTACAGAGTCAGCATCTTGCCCCCAACAATCTGCTCCAGTTTGGTGCTTCCCAGATTGATTTATGTCAACTGCAAGTAGTTAATGTTTTTGATTTGCTACTGTAGCTTTTTTAGTTGTGGCTTTGTATCGACTTTAATTGGCGGCAGCTTTGTGTCTTTTTAGACCAGAAAGGCAGAATACAGTTATAAATATTTGTTTGATAGATATAGATAAGAAAGGAAAAAGAATTAATGAGTATGGGGAAAATATTGTGAAGATACCGGAAAGTATATTTATAAAGTATTCTAACACTTCTGTTTTAAAATTGTAGTAGTATATTTTAAAAAGCAGTATTTTAAAATAATTTTTAGTCTGAGTATTTAAGATGTTCTATAGCTATTGTATTTTATCCAGTTAGTTAACCAGGTTTGTTTTTTGGGTCATAACACCCACAAGTATTCTAGATTCTGTTTTCGTTTATGAATCTTTTTTCTATCGTTGTGCTAATAATCCTTTGCTATACTCATTTTATAGAAACACTTTTCAGTATTCTTAACCTGGAATATATGTAAATCTGTATGGCTTACTGATCAGCGACCAAAACATAAGCTATTAATGTGTCTACGAGAGGGCAAAAATTCACAGAGAAATTACTGAAGAATTTCCTCATTCTTAAGAGATATAAGAATGTTTTGGGATCAAGTAAATTTCAATCAGAGACCTAGTTTAGTACAGTAATTAAGGCATCAGAAACTGGAAACTGGAGGACCCTGAGTTCTACTCCTGTCGTAGGCCTGAAGCCAGCTGGCTGGCCCTGGGCCGGTCCTTCCCTCTTAGCCCTAGGAATCAGGCAATGGCAAATTGCTTCCAAAATCTTGCCAAGGAAACTGCAGGAACATGTCCAGACAGTCTCAAAACTGACTTGAAGGCACCAAAAATAAATTTTAAAAAGTAATCCTAGCCCCAAAACAAAATCAATCTGGGCTGAACGAGATTGGAACTGTCATTGTTACTGAACTTGGAAACCTTTGTATTCTCTTAGCATCTTTAGTTCTATCTGAAAACCGCTCTAAAATAGGCCAGATTTGATTCTTATTTGCAGATGTGATGGTACAGAAAGTGAGAGTGATGTTATGTTCTACTTTTTTGCATAACCCCTCAAGACTGTTATTCAAGCTTAACGTAGCTTAAACAACGTGCCCACAGAGCTGATGTCTCATGAGAGAGCATGAACAAAAATGGCAAATTTGGATGACCTTTGTGCACGTTTCATAGGCCGAATGGCACGGATCCTTGAGTGTTCCTTGTAAGCATCACTTGTGTTGAGCTGCTGCTAAGCTAAGATACTGATGTGGAAATTCTCTCCTTCCTAGGTGGATGGGAATATCAGCAAGATTTATTGCCAGAACCTTTGCTTGTTAGCAAAGCTCTTTCTTGACCACAAAACCTTATACTATGATGTCGAGCCCTTCCTTTTCTATGTTCTCACCAAGAATGATGAAAAAGGGTGCCACTTAGTTGGATACTTCTCGAAGGTAAACGTTTGATCTTACCCTTATCAGTGTATCACGCTTTTATGCAGAATGCTTGTTGGGAAAAGAGCGCTTCAAACGGGAAGGAACGCATTTTTTGTTTGAAAATAATGATGCCATTATCCTTTCAAAAAGTGTTGGATTTAGGTCCAAAATACAGTGCACAGATCCTTTAAATCGCCCACGTTTGAAGCAAAATCCGGCAGTACAATGGCTGCTCAGAGCAGGCGCTGCCTTCAGCCGTTCAGTCCTTGTTGCATATTTAATACAATTTGTCCCTTGCATACAAGACGTTCAATCTGTGCTTCCCTCATTAGAACCTAAGCAGAAACGTGATAAAATTGTTTAAAAGGAAAGTAGCTGGGGTTTTGTAACCCTAGAATCTAAGACCAGGTTTAAGGCCACGTTTGGGGAAGCCTAGCTGCTCCCAAGCCGAGAGGGGCTGTGGGCCCCGTGATCGGAAGTGATACCTTTGCCACAGTCTGCCTGTTCACGCCTCCCACCCGTGTTCTTCTTTCTTTCAGGCTCAGGTGAAGAGGATGCAGTGTGCGGGACCAGCAAAGTTGCCCCAGATTGCCCTGGTCCGGCATTGCCTTATGGAGTCTCTGAGCCTTCCCTATTGATAAAGGAGCCCTTCTGTGAGTTAAACCCAGAGCTGTTTGTTGCTGAGATTTGTAGTTAGCAGGATGGGTTAAACAGAGGGAGGGAGTTCTCTTCTAGCACTCTTCTTCATCTGTTGGCTGATTGGCCACGGGGAGAGGGCCCAAAGAGTCAAGAGGTCAGCCAGGAGGGTGTGATTGAAGCACCTAGGAAAGGATGGGGCTTCGCTTGCACCGAGTCCTGGGTGCCTTCTTGACTTCCTGGATCCCTTCCCACATGCCCCCCCCCCCCGGTCGAAGGTTATTTCTCTCTCTCTCTCTCTCTCTCTCTCTCTCTCTCTCTCTCTCTCTCTCTCTCTCTCTCTCTCTCTCTTTTAATTTCATAAAGTGTTTGCGCTCCCTTGCTCTGCTTGAAAATACTCCAGGGTGTTTGGTAGGACAGTACAAAGATATACATGTTTACGTGGCAGAATAGTAAGCGGAATTACGTGAGTTTCAAGATTTCTGAACCGAGAAGTACAAAAATTAAGGAGTAGGTCATCCTGTTGAGATTCCTGCCAGCAGCTAGGCTAAGACGCTCGGTGAGAGCAACGCGGACCGAATGTTACGGAGGTGCCGAGGGAATAATAGTTTGCCTAAAATGGCGCCCTCTTGATGCCGCTTTAGCAGAAAAGACAAGATGGTTGGACCCCAAATTTTAATGTGATATTTTCTATCAAGTCCCTGACATAAAGAGGGGACTTCAAGAGAGGGCCAGCTGTCGGAGTACGAAGGTACAGAAATATAAATACAGGTAGCCCTGGACTTACGACTGTTCGTTTAGTGGCCGCTCAGCGTTACAACAGCACTGAAAAAAAAGTGACTTGCAGCCGGTCCTCGCATTTACAAGCGACACACAATCTCCATGGTTGCACGATCAGAACTTGGGTGCTTGGGAGCTGGCGTGTATTTACGAAGCTCACGGCGTCCCAGGGTCGCGTGACCCCCTTCTGGCAGGCAAAGTCACTTGGCTCCCTTAACGGTTGCTGTGATTCTCTTAATGACCAAGGCAAAATAGATCGTGAAATTGGGTGCAGCTTGCTTAGCAACCGCCTTGCGCAGCAATCTCAAATTTTTTCGTCCTAAGTCGAGGACTACCTGCAACAAAACCAGCCACTCTTGCTGAAAATCAGCGTGATTCCCCACAACCCATGACGCACTGTAGCTCGGTGCCTCTTAATATTTTCCAAAGAAACGAACGATTTCAAATCTTGCTGGGACCTTTTTCGTTTTCATTGGACAACCACCTGTCTGGAATGGCCTAGGGTCTCCTGCTTGAGCAGGGGGCTGGACTAGAAGACCTCCAAGGTCCCTTCCAGCTCTGTTCTGATTCCGATTTGTGGAGGGCACCCTCACGGCGGTGCTGAGAGGCCGGGCTGTGTATTGCAGCCCCGTCAAAAGCTGCGTTAGGAGCCTCGGTTCTACTGCACCGGACGGGTCTCTGCAGTGTTAACCCATCTTGCTGGCTACTGATTTAAGCAACAGGGTCCATGATATTCAGGGCATTCCAGGCTTCTCTGCTCGTCCCAGGCACTCCAACCTTCCACCTGGATTTGCCCCTAAAAGGAGAGGGAAAAATGTGTGGCTATATGAAGGGTAAGTTGTAAGCACAGACGATGACGTTGTACGCAATTGTTCCTCGTTGTAGGAGGCACCTATTAAGACCCTGGCCGTGGGTGCCGTTCTTCTTCTGGCATCGGGGAACTCGAACCCACGTCATTTAGCTTCCCATCTGGTCTTCACTTGGTCGCTTTCCAAAAAACTGTAGCGTCTCTTCACTTTGAAATGGAAACGTAACCTGGCGGCGGGGATGGCCTCCTCTCCGGTGTTTCTCTGTTTGCTTTCTATCGGATGCGTGGGGCAGCAGACACCCGGCAACTTAGATTACGTTTCAACCTGTGCACATCAGTTTTTCTCTTTCAACGAAAATGCTCAAGCCAACCGTACTGCACTTTTCAAACCAAGACAAATAATCAGGGCAGAAATGAAAGATTGGGTTTTTAAATTACAGCAAAACGGGGGTCTTAGAGTTACGTGTGAAACCCCCCTGCCGCAATTTGTCGTGAAAGATGTCAGTCGCAGGAAGAGGCTGTGACGGTGTTCCAATATGCACTGAAAGAAATTACACTAGGATGAAAAAATCTGGCCCTTTGGGTAGGGAAGCGGGCCCGTGCAGCACCAGCGTGCCTTCAGATGTTGCTCTAGGTATTCAAAGCGTCGCCTGCCGTTCTTTCCTTTTTTAAAAAAATAATGTTTCAATTGAAAACCAGAAGCTGGGATCACTTCTCTAACCATTTTTATTTGCATAAATGCCTCTGGGCCTCCGGATAGTCTCTCGCGATTTTCTTGAAAAAGAAGTATTAGAAAACTGCAGCCCAGGGCTTGGTTTAGGAGTGGATCCGTTTGATCCAGAATTTTTTTTTTCGGGGTGGGGGGCGTGGGGGGGCAGATACAGATAAACAAGAGAGTAGGAGAGCCGGGCTAGGAAGCTCTAAACTTGGCAACTTCAAGACTTCTGGGATTTCAGCTCCCAGAATTCCTCAGCCAGCCACGCTGGGAGTTGAAATCCAGAAGTCTTGAAGTTGCCAAGGTTGGAGAGCCCTGCGCTAGCCAAAAATGAGCTCCTGGCCCCAAATATGGGCTTGGGGATTTAGCCTGCCCACTGCCCTGATGTCCTCCCGGCTGAGCTCCGTGAGGTGAGAAGCAGCTGCGACTCCAAAACGTGCATTTCGTTCCAACGCGGGAGGTTTTCCCTTTCTGAGGAAGCTGCTCTTTTCCTGCCCTCCACTGAGTGGCTCATCTCTCGGGAACAAAAGTGGCACAGGGGCTGCTTCTCTGTCCTGGAAGACCCACCCCCTGCCCAGTGGGGTCCCAGGCAGGATCACCCAAAGGGGGCACGTCAGCATCTCTTTGGGGTTACCCAGAGTTCCCCCCCCCATGGCTTTCTGGAAGGGAGCTCTGCAGCCCGGGCTTATTCCTCACACACATAAAGCAAAAGAAGTTACTGAATGCCTTCGTTGGTTTTTCTGTGGACTTGGTCTGCATTGCTCACCCTTAGCAGCTTAAAGATGGGTGGACTTCAACTCCCAGAATTCTTCAGCCAGCCATGCCGGCTGGGGAATTCTGGGAGTTGATGTCCACCCATTCAGAAATGCTGGATTAGATAACTGCTTTCCAAATTCCTCCCCTCATCTTTTGCTTGACTGCTGCCAGCTGCTTCTCTGACAGGAGGACCATCTGTTCACTAGAATAAATAGATTCTTAACATCTGATCTTAAAAAAAGAAATCCTGAGCAAATTTTAATGAAACATGGTTTGTTCACAACCACCTGTTAATCAACCAGTTTCTAACTTGCATTTTGTCTGTGTTAAGAGTATACCAGATAGATCCTCTGGGTACCTTTATCCCATCATTTACATCGGAGGTCTTCAAACTTGGCCCTTTTATGATTTGTGGATGTCAACGTGTGCCTGGCTGAGGAATTCTGGGAGTTGACGTCCACAAGTCAGAAAAGGGCCAAGTTTGAAGACCTCCGATTTACATTAATGTATTACTTTTTTACTGCTTTCATTTGCTTTAAAATTTTAGACTCCAATGGCCATTTTGTTTTACTGCTTTATTGATATTCTGTGTACGTTATTTGCATTTTATATAGGTCTACATATATACCATATATGTACATCTATATAATTAAATAGATAATGAACAATAAAGAAAAAGAATCACCGTTTACTGATAAGATACTGGGGGGAAAACAAAATCAAAAGTGATCTCAAGTCTAATATAAAGATTAAAGCTCCCTCTGAATTGAACTCAGCTATCTGCCAACTGACCCACTGGCCTCTTCATGTAGTTTTCCTCGGTGACGGCGCTGAAGGGGTTTGCACCGATGCGCTTCGAGGGTAGTTTTTCCATTTCCTATTCTACATTTGGGATTTCTTTCATTCAAGTATTCACCAAGATTGTTTGTATTTAGGAGCCAGTAATAGCCAGTAGAGCAATCTTGGTCTATTTCCCCAAGAGCCAATTTCTGGCTTCCTGTTGTAATGGTTCAATTAAAACAACATCACGTTCTGTAATGATCATCCACCAGCCATTCACCTCAAGTTAACTCACTCATTCAAAGTTCCTCACTTGGTAGAAATAATGGATCCTAATGGCTGCTTCCTATGAATGAGGAGGAGCAGAGAGATGCGCTATCTGTTATGCACACTAGGCAAATACTGGTGTGTGCATGTGTGTCTGTGTGTGTGTGTGTGTGCCAAAAAAGCCAAGATGGCTCTTCTGTCCGCCATCTTGGTTGTTTTGATCACACTGTAGATGCCTCTGTGACAGCAAGTCCCACGGATGGGTTTACTTTCTTAATTCTCCCACTCCCGCTCTCCAGTCGATATCTGGGGCTGCATTTTTGCTGCTGTCTCGAATGTTTTGCCCCGGGTTGAAAAAGAGGCTAGGAGGCCTCCCTGCCTGGTTGGCAGCACTGACTCTCAGGTCTATTTATTTATTTATTAGGTGGGTGCTATTTAGATTTTTCTCATTTTTTTGTTTGTTCACTTTTTTTATTTTGAACATAAAAATAATTGGTGTCTTGGGGCACTTGTGCGGTGTAAAAATATTGCGTGAAAACGTGTAAGTGTTCTAAAAGTCCAAGCAGAACTGATACATTTAAGACTCCAGAGTACAGTATAACTTTATTGTAGATAAACTGTTGTGCCGGTCAATGATGGCTGCTGCTGAAATAAAAATGAAAAGCAGTCTTTTTGATAGGTGTGGCTTTTGATCCACCCTATACGATTGAAAGCTTGGGGATGACCTCTTTTGCATAATTCCTGTGGGAGAAAAGTGGGAAAGGATAAATAAGTCTCCCCTCTTCTCCCCTTTTTAATTTGGTTGCACTATTCCGTTTGGATTTTTTTGTTTTTCAGTTCTTAATTCCATAAAACACGGAGCCTTTCCAGATTTGGTCTATTTTGCCTCGTTCTGCTTTCTGAGGCAGAGTGTGATTTTGACCTGTTGCCTTCTGGGGTAATGTTTGAAGATGGATGGGGGGGGGGCAGAAGCAGTGCCTTTGCGATGTTTTCAGCCGTCTCCCCTGTTTCTCTTTTCCAGGAAAAGCTCTGCCAGCAGAAGTATAACGTCTCCTGCATCATGATCATGCCCCAGTACCAAAGGCAAGGATTTGGGAGGTTCCTTATCGATTTCAGTAAGTGAAGGACGGCCTTTGCGTTCGTGGGTTTGGGGAGCGGGTATTGCAGTGGAAATTCAGCGAGAGCAACGGTGCTTTTTCTGTGCATAGACAACCAGCTCTCTGTCTCTAACTGCATCCGGGCAGAATAAGTCCATTAAAAGATAGGTCTAATCCTGTCACGCACCTGAAGAAGCTGGCTCCCTCTCTTCGCCGGGAAGTCAGCTCTTGGTGTGGTTAGATTGGACGAATTGCCTAAATTGCCTTCCTTTCGCGTTGCTCATTAATGCAGAGAGAAGCCGTGATTCGTCATTAAAAGCAAAAAAGGTAATTTAGGGCTTTCTTCAGTTCCTGGGTTGCTTTTAGCACCAGGTATATTTTAATCGAGCAGTACTTAAAATGGAGCATAACGTTTTAGGCTTTTGTTCCTTCCAAAAAGGGAATTGTCTCAGATCTGAAAGGGACCATTGGAGCACGCTGTAAAAAAAACAGTATATCCTGATTTTTATATATATATATATATGAAGAGCTCAAAATGTTTCCTCCCCTGCTTCTGTAGAGTTTTTATCAAAAGGCAGGAAAATGGAGTGGAGCCAAGAAGCAAACTAAACGTTGCATTGTCACAAAGAAAGGACAAGGACGGTGTCTGTCCATGCCGTTTATCCTCCGAGGACAGGGGGCAGGGAGGGAAGTGGGCCCCCTCCGTAGTGTGTGTCATGTGGATCAGAATGAAACGTCAGAAATGTAATGCTCCAGACCAGGGGTCCTCAACCTGGGCCCTCCCCCCGCTCCGAAAGGTTGGGGAACTCTGCTCCAGACTCTGGGACGAAGCCTCGGGAGGGGGGAGACGAGGAGCAGAGTCCCCGAAAGAGGCAAGATCCCCCAAGGGAGTCGGGGTCGCTTCCCTTCCCGTCCCCCTGCCCCGTACATCGTGAGCATAAAACAAGACCCGTGCGGGATGGCCTTGACTTAACAACACTTCGTTTAGCACTGAAAAAAGTGACAAATGACTTTTTTTCACACCGTTGCAACATTGCCACGGTCATGTGATCAAAATTCATGCGCAGATGATGCTGCGGGGCACGGGTGGAGGGTGTTGCCGCCATGGCGCTGCTGGGCCGCTTGGGTGATCTGTGGCGGGGTGGCCCAGCGGGCAGGGTGGAGTGGGGACGGGTGGGGGGCAGTTTTGGGGTACTCGGTCTCTAAAAGGTTCGCCATCCCTGTCCTACATCATCTCAGAGCTCTACGATTCCAGGAGATTGTGAAGTCAAAAACACAGTTGCGCCCCCTCTTCATAAAAACATTCCTGAGCTCTGGCAGCAAAGCAGCCGTTGCTTCACCTGGAGCTGGATGAGGCCACAGGTAGCTGGTTTGTCAGAATCAGAGGTCATGTCAAGCATTTACGTTTTGCATTTCAAGCGACACCTTTTTCATCGGAAGAGAAATGTCAGCTGTCATTTTGCTTCCGTTCCTGAATACTCTCTGACGATGTTCCCTGCTGCGTTCCAATTTAGGAGGAGGAGGAGGCAGGCTTTTAAAAAAGGTTTTTTAGAAGTTTCCTAGCAGCACTCAAGTCCCTTCTGCAATCTCTAAAATGTCAATCATGAATATTCTGAAAGAAAGTGATTAGTGATACGATTTTATCAACCTGTCTCTTTTTCATGATCACCATTAATGCAAAACAAAAACTTCCTGCTTATATTCATCTTCTTCCCAATTTCAATTTTGACAACACAGATCATGGAGGAGAAACTCTGAGTTCCTGAAATGTCAGGTTTCTTTTTCTTTCTTTTTTTTAAAAAATGTGATTAAATATGACTTGAGTTAAACATTTTGGGGGAAGAAAATAAGATGACAAGATAGATGAAGGAAAAGAGGAGAAACAAATTCAGAAAGATAAAATGTGAAGTGGACATGGAATTTACAAGCAGCAGAGAATTAGGCTAGAGTTTTCCATTATCACTGGGTTTTAAATAATTAAATACAATTTTGAAAACCACAGATCGTTGTCGAAATCCACGTAATATATCAACAGCAACAAGACAGTCCTTGCTTAATGATCACAATAGAGGCCAGCAAATCTGTTACTCAGCAACGTGGGTATTAAACGAGACATCACATGACCGTAACTTACGATTTTTATATGGTGCCTTCCTATTGGTTGATTAAGTGTTGATGGCTGGCGATTGGCTGTTGTTTCCTTGTGCTGTCAAATTCTGGGGCCGGTTTCCCAGGCTTCAATCCCTTCCTTGGCTATCCTATCTGTTGATTTACTATCAGCTGATCAGTTACTTAGGAGCTGACACCTTAGTGGCCGGCCATTAATAGCCCAATCAATAGCTATTAAATAGCTAAATAATGAAAATATTTAGGAGCCCAAGTTTATGTTCTATTTGATTTGTAATCTGTTCACATTTTGTTGGGCCTGGATGGGGAACAGATGTTGGGCTTTCGTTGCTGTGCAATAGAGCAACACAGTCACTTAATATCTAGGACTGTATTTCTCAACCTTGCAGCTTGAATTTGCGTGGACTTCGATTCCCAGAATTCCTCAGCCAGCTCTGCTGGCTGGGAAATTTGGGGAGTTGAAGTCCACGCAAATTCAAGCTGCCAAAAACACTGATCTAGGAAATCCTGCAAGATCCCTTAGTTTTGTGAAGCTCCTATTCCTTGTGGCCTAGATAGGAGAAAAGAAGGTCTGAGCCAGCTCAGTCGGAATTAATAGTCAGATTTTTAACATTTTAATTTTTACTCTTTTTTTCTCAATGAAAATATTTGTATTTCCAAGACCATTGCCACAGAAGCCCTGGGTTTTGACTTCCGATTTTCATTCTGGGAACTTCCAACTTCATTGAGAGAGAAACCAAGCCCGGTAGGAGATCATCGCCTATCATTAGGCTGGATAATGAGGCGGAGAAAGGCAGCCTGGCCTTCTCCCTTAGTGATCTGCATCCGTTGCCCTAGAAACTCAGGATTCCAGCTCTGTACGGTCCTCTTTGCAAACGTGACCAGCTGGAATGAGATCCTGTCTAATCCAGATACGCAAACGGCTTTTGTTACGATATGAACTACGTTGGCGCTCCCAGGATGCGTAGTGAACGTGTGGGGGGATATGGGGAGAAGACAGAAGGAAAAAGACAAAAGAATTGCTCGGCAGACATTTTCAAAGAATACACAACCAAGTACGGCCGGTCTTTCAGCCCAAAATTTCAGAAATTCATTAAGTGAAATCCGCCCCATTTTACAACTTCCTTGCCAAAGTTGTTAAGTGAACCACTGCAATTGTTAAGCTGGTAACACAGCTGTTAAATGAATTGTCTTATCCGTTGACTTTGCTTGGTGATCTTGGTGTTAAGTTAGTTTTCCAGAACCAACTCTTGAATCTCAGGGAGTCTATTTACAGAGATATGTTGTGACTAGTGCTGCCTACCTCACAGGCCACCCTAGAAGAAGGAGCTACCTTGAGCTCCTGAATGAAAAGCAGAATGTTATAACCTGATCAATGTATTTCAAGTAACGTTTCCTCTTGGCTGGCTGGGAGTTGAAATTCAAAATTGCTAAAGGTTCAGAAGCTGCCTTAGGAATTTGGGTGCATAGGAGCATTCACAAATCATGTGTAATTTCGTCCTGAACGTTTAACATTTTTCTGAGAAGTAGCGCTAATTTGTCGGAAAATTAAGGAAATAAGCTCTCGAGAGACCCTTGAACTGTGGGGAATGATAGGCCCATTCAATTAAGCTCTCTAAATTGATGTTCTGAAGATCTTTGGAGGAGACGAAAGGCGGAGATTCTTCCGCTGTGTGAGAGGTGTTATTCCTGTACATGAGTTTTGAAATTGTAGGGATGCATCTGGAATTATATTTGGGTAATTTGAGAATTGCAAAGAATGGAAAATGGTGGTTTTCTTATGCCACGAACTCATTGTTACTTTTATTATGTATTTAGATTTGTGTGATGAATGTGGCCTTTAAAAGCAAAACATGATCCAAGTTATCTTTTGAACTGAAATGTTGAAATCTTGACTGTCAGTTCCTTGTTGTGTTGCACGAAGTGGGTTTGCCATACAGAAGGATCAAAACAGTCACCCTGAAACTGCTTTTGAGAGTTGCAGGTGAACCATGAGTATTAAAAGAGGATCTTTGCAATACCATTGGCTATATTTAATGCTGAATTATCTTAACAAAATAATGTCACTATTAAAAATGTTTATTCTGTTTATAAGGTTTCCTAATACAAGTGATTCAAGGCACAATACAGTGAGTTAAAAACATCATTAAACACCATAAATGTAAAACAACAAAGGACCAGATATAAAAATAACAATGCTCTGGACAGAATATACCGAAATTCGAATAACTACTATTCAAGCAGTTCACAGATTGCCTGCTGGAAAAATCAAGATTTTAATGTTTTCCTGAATGTCAGCAAGTCTGGAGTAAAGTCCAAAATTCAGTAAGATAGGAGTTTAAAGTAGCATATAGAATAGAATAGAGTTGGAAGGGACCTTGGAGGTCTTCTAGTCCAGCCCCCTCCTGGCTCAAGCAGGAGATCCTATATCATTTCAGACAAGGGGCTGTCCAGTCTCTTCTTATAAACCTCCAGTGATGAAACACCCACAACTTCTGAAGGCAACTTCTGTTCCTCTGCTTAATTGTCCTCTCTCTGTTGGGAAGTTTCTGCTTAGTTCCAGGTTGCTTCTCTCCTTCATTAGTTTCCATTCCTTGTTTCTTGTCTTGCCTTCAGGGGCTTTGGAGAATAAGTTGGCCCTCCCTCCTCTTCGTATCCTAAAGTCTCTTAGTCTTCTGTGAGTGGCACATTGTGATTCTTCCCCTTGTTCTTTTCTGCTAGGTTACCTGCTTTCTCGAAGAGAGGGACAGGCCGGGTCACCTGAAAAGCCTCTGTCCGACCTCGGCCGGGTCTCGTACCTGGCTTATTGGAAAAGTGTCATCTGGGGATACCTTTCCTGCCACCACGAGAAGCAGATCAGCATCAAGGCGATGAGCCGAGCCACCGGGATGTGTCCCCACGACATCGTCACCATACTCCAGCACCACAGCATGATTGACAGGCGGGAAGAAAAGTCAGTATCCGCTCCTGAGCTGCCCCGTGCTCTCTCTCTCTCTCTCTCTCTTGCTCCCTTTTGTTAAGCGCACAGGCCCAGGGTTTCACTTCATCCGCACGTGGTCCTCCCTTAGCGACCACATGTTCAGCAACCGGTCAAAGTTGCAGAAGAGCGCAAAGAGTCCCCGGAGTTCTGGCAGTTGCAGCAACCCGTTGTCGCATGATGGCAATCCCAGCAGTTGGTGTCTCACTCCTGATTACGTCACAGGGTTCCATGTTCACCACCGTGACCTTCTGGCAGTCCACTTGAGGGCAAATCCCTTTGGTCAACTAATGACCATTTGCTTCCCTCAGTGGCATTAGCCACACGCACCAGAAACCGCCCTCACCGGTTCTGACAGCTTCCCCGCCCATCGCTGCTAGATGGTCTCCTAATCCCCCGGTCCTCTTGGCTTGTTAAAAAAATCAGAGAGAGAGAGTAACCCACTGGTCCCAAAGATGCTTTTTCACGAGGCATCTGAAGTTTCTCTTTGAAGACGTTTTGCTTCTCATCCCAGAAGCTTCTTCAGCTCTGACTGGAGGGTGGGGAAATGGAAGGATTTATACTCCTTGCAGACGGCTGGACGTTTGAAAAAGCCCCTTTGGGACAGCTGTGACCTGGATGACTGAGGATCTCCATAGACAAATGACCAAGTGGCTTTTTTCTAGATTGCAAACATGGGGGCTTCCACTAGATAGGAACAAAAAGATAAAACTCTTTCATTCTTTGCCCCAGGAATTGGACTTGTGTGTGGCAGATTTTTCCCTGTGGATGGTGGTCCAATCACAAGACTAGGATAAATGCTTTGGCAGGAGGGGCCTCTACCTAAAGGAGGGGTGTAAACGTATTAAAAGAAAAATTAACTGTAATTCCAGACCCACCATCCCTACAGCAAATGGGTACATTCCCATCTCCTCGTATGTATTGCTCCCTTCTAACTTCAGATTTGTTTCCATTGCAGGTTTATGGTAATTAGGAGAGAGAAATCGATCTCCCGCTACATGGAGAAACTGAAAGGCCATCCCCGCGTCAATGAAGTGGACCCAGAAAGTTTGCGGTGGAGTCCTCTCCTGGGTCCGAACGTGGCGGTTTCCGAGGAAGAGAGGGAAGCTGAAAAAGAGGTAAACGCATCGTGGGATAATCCCCTCCTGAACAAAAGTGCCAGTCAATCCGTGAAGATGATGGGCAGAACGAAAAAAAGGCTAGGCCAAGCTGCCCGGATGGCTCGCCCAGCAGGTTCCAAGAGGTTGATTCATTTCTATAGTTCTGTTGGTGTATACAGCACAGCTGCAATTGTGACAGGGACAAAAGCCACGGGCTGTAAATGTGGCTGTGGTGAGAGAGAAGCAGTGAAAACACCCCCGGGTGGAGAGGAGCATTCGTTTCCTAAAGTCTTAGCGTTATATGGCTGGAAGGGAGCTTGGAGGTCTTCTAGTCTAACCCCCAGCCCTTATACCATTTTGCACAAAGGTTTGTCCAATCTTTTCTTGAAAATGTCCAGCAATGGAGTGCCCACAACCTTTGGAGGCCACCTGTCCCACCGATTAATCATTCTACTGCGAGGACACGTCTTCTTCTTTGGAGGCTGGGTCTCCCTCTGAGATGCTTCCACCCTTTGCTTCTTGTCCTGTCCTCGGGTGCTTTGGAGGATAAATCCCCCCTGGGATGGCCTTTCAAGCGTTGGAAGAGGGCTGTCATGTCTCCCCGAAGCCTTCTCTTCGTTAGGCTCAACAGGTCTAGTTCCCTTGGCTTTTCATCTTACAGTTTAGCCATTCAGAACCCTTATTAACTCTATCAATTTATTAAACAAACTTTTACAGCTACTCTCCTTGTGGATCATGAGGCACCATTCTCGCCCCTACAGGTTAATTTCAAACAGGGGTGAAGATGGAAGTATATTTTTACACTGGAGCTTGTTGGGAAACGGGCAAGCATCATATAATTTAAGGAGGACCTATGAGCAGGAATACCTCCAGGAAACACGGGCCAGTCCAAGGGAGCAGGCAGAGTCGAGAGAAAGAAAGAGCCACGTGAGGTAGTTTTTCTCAGCTTTGGCAAGTTTAAGATACGTGGACTTCAACTCCCAGAATTCCTCAGGCTGGCCGGGGAGTTCTGGGAGTTAAAGTCCACGTATGTGAAACTTGCCAGGGTTGGGAAACACCTTTGCAGAGGAAACAAAGGATAACGCTACAGAGATTTTCTAGACAATTGAAAGATTCACAACTTTATCTCTAGAGCACCGAATCGAGGTGAGAGTACTGAGCTCTGAAAAGAAAGGAACAGCGAGGAGATGGAAAAAGGAGACAGGTACAGAGGTGACCAAAGGGTTTGCAAGGTGTTTAGTTAAAAGTAAAAAGGAGAAAGAGACTTAAACGGAGATATAGGTGGTGATGAGGTTAAATGAACCTCTGACATCTACTATAAAATAAAATTCCGTGCGTATGAATGAGCTATAAAGAGTAGTTTATGCTAATGAATGCCAAATCATTTTTTAAGAATTTGTGGTGCAACTTAAAGGCAGAACAATTTTGGCTTTGTCTTTTCACTGCTTCCCAAATGCTATTAAATGCACCGCCTTCAACAGAACTGGACGCAGACTTCAAAAAGTTTTCATTAGCTGCTTCCATGCATTTCTAAGATGACTGAAATTGCCTGTCCAAGAGCATAATGCTAACGAAGAACCAAAATCAGTCTTGCCTTATTAATGATGCAAAAGTTTCCATAAAACGCAAGTTCAATTTGTTTCCTTTGGTGGGGGGAACCTGTTTAGGTGCAGCTTTCGTAGCCCTTGACGCTGATGAAAGCTGACTGATAGCTTATTTCTATTGCGGAGCTGTGCACGAAGGAACGAGGGACAGCTCAGGGGTGTTTCTGTGGTCTGTCATTTAAACCCTTTTGCTGCTCAGGCTGAGCGCTTGATGGAGCAAGCAAGTTGTTGGCAGAAAGAGGAGCAGGAGCTGCACTCCACAAGAGGGAGCAGGCAATTGCCCGAAAAAGCGCAGTCGAAAAGCAAGTATTTGCGACCCCAAGAAAATCCGGCCCTACTGGTGGAGAGAGAGACGCCCACAGGCTCCCCGAAAGAAAGCAGCGGAGAGGAGGAGGAGGAGATAGAGGAGGAGGAGGAGGAGGAGGAGGAAGAAGAAGAAGAAGAAGAAGAAGAAGAAGAAAAGGAAGAAGGGGAGGAGGAGGAGGATGGACGTCACCGGAATTCTCCTCCGAGGCTGGCAAAACCCCAGTTGCTTGCAATGAAGAGAAAGGTCAGTTCCAAACCCTGATTCAGAGTCTCTTGATTTTTAATGCTGGGCTTACCGCATTGAGCAGCTGGAGCAGGTAGATTTCTGCCTTTACCTTACAAACAGGCGCATTTTGAAATACCACTAATTTCTTACAGACGTTTGCAATTCAAATATTATTCTCTGTTAGTCATTGTGGGTGTTAGTTGAGTCGCCTTACACATTTCACGGTCTCCTTCCTTTGCAAAAAAAAGCAGCTTTTTACTCTGCAAGGACCCAAAAAGAGAATTTAAAAACTAGCAATGACATTTTTTCCCCTCAGCGCTAAGTTAGACTTGCCCAGGAATCATCCCCTCACTTCGTTTCCAGATTGCCACCTCTCCTGCTGGCTAGCTAAAACATCAGACTGTGTGCCTGTCACAGGTTCATGCTTGACATTAATAGACGGTGGTGGATAATTCTCCAGTTCCTTATTCAGTTTCCAACGGGGTCTCTGCTTCTCCAGCAACCGACAACATCCTCTGAAATAACTGAAACATCCTCCTGGTTGTGTCTCCAGTTTGTTTCTAGCTAAGCTGTTTTATTGGATTGCATTTTAGTATCCTGGAGGATCTCCTGCATTGCAGGATTATTCTTGTTACAAAGACATTATTTCCCTTTTTCTTCTCCCTCTTTGAATATTTTCTTGATGTATTAAAGTATAAATGTATTCAATATTTTTAAATTCTACTATCTCTACTATCTACTATTGCCAAACATGATGATTCCTTTTTAATTTTTAGTTGTGCTTTGATTGTTAATCAGTTAGACCAGATTAACACTTCTGAAATCTTTGTCTGAGACCAGGTGAAAATTGTTGGAGGTAATCCTTTTTTTTTCTACATTTTTTTTTAAAAAAAAAACAGTTTTATCGTTATCCTCAAAACCATCATCTTGTAATAATTAAATGAACTCTGCGATAGAAATAAGATAAGATAGCCTTTATTGTCACTTTTTTCTGTGAACACACTGGCACATGTTAAAAAATGAAATTCTGACGCTTGCTCTCAAAAGAATACACATTCAGAGATGTTTATGGAGATGCAGAATGGGGACATTATTATATATTATCTATATAATTAATATATATTAAATAATTTAATATATATTCTTAATACAATTGACATTATACACCACTGCACACCACCCAGAGTCACTTAGTAATTTCTGGAAAGGTTATATAAACCAACTGTCTCAAATTTGGAATGCCTCTTTCTTGGTTGAAAACATTTGTTTGATTTATAGTAGTTGTAACTTGCTTTGAGTTGGGAATGTTTCCCATATGATTAAGATGGCCCATTTCAGATGCAAAACATTTCTCTCTAGTTTAAAGCAATTACTTCAAATTCAAAAGAAGAGTGAATTTACAGCCTAGGTAGTTCAGATTTTGCCAACAAGAAATGTTCCTTCTTCCACCCAACTTTAACATATTTCGCATTATTTTTAGAGACCTTTCCTATTGAAAAAGAAAAGGGGTCGTAAACGCCGAAAGATTAATAGTAGCGTTACAACGGAGACCATTTCTGAAACCACCGAAGTTTTAAAGGAACCTTTTAATTATTCGGAAGAAGAGCAGAGCCTGATGCAGCTGGAGCCAACCTGTGAAACGGAGGGAGAACGTGACAGAGGGAAGACTGGGGGTGCAGCCGCGTCCCAACACCTGTCTGGGGAAGAGGAGGAACAGGAACAGGAAGAGGAGGAGCAGGGGCAAGATGATCAATGTAACCGGAATGAGAATCCATGCAGAGGTGAGATCCAAAGGCGGTTTTCTGCTCAGTTCTGTTCAATGTGAATTTTGGGAAACAAACTTTGAGGAGGGATAGGTTGTTTCTCCAAACATGTGCCTCTCTCATTATCAAAGCACTTTTATTTTTATTTTTTTTATGCAAACGTTATCATCCAAACAAACACAGTCCCACCATGTTTGGTCTTGGCAGTTTCTCAACTGTAGGAAGAAATTCTTTGTAATTATATTTTTAGAAATGTGGATGCGTAACAGTTAGATAATCTAATAGATAAGACAGTGTTTAATTGCACTGCCTTTGGTATTAGTAAATGACGTGTTCAAACAGTAGTAGGTGATTTACTTAATTAATGAGGTTTTATAGTATCCTCCAGTTGTATTTGGCTACTTAGCTTTTATGATCTGGTCTTGGACTGTCATAAAACATTAATTTATACGTTGTGTTCAAATTTGCTTGAGGCTTATTCTTTAGGACTCAGGGTTCCTTTTCAGTCAGTCCTGTAGAGCCTGTTAGCTTATTACTTTGGTGTATGATTTAGGTGCAACACATTTTTAAGAAAAGCAGATAAACTAGGGAATAATAATGGTTATTTTCCTATAGCTTTTTAGCCTGGGAAAATAATTCTCATTCTGCAATGTTTGGGTGTCTTATAAAAGTAAATGTTTATCTTAAAAGTTTTCTATAGTAATATTCTTATGCTTTTTCTCCTGAACAATATATTTAGTAAATAAGGCGGAGTTTTATTCAGCACCTCAGCTTATAATACTTTGCTGCCTTTGCAAGCAGTTTGGTCATGGATCAACAGAATAGAAATCTGGAATGCTTTGACCTTCTGGAGTTTGGATAAAACAAAATCTGGACACACAGAGAGAACGGCAGTAATAGTGAGGGTTATCCCCTCTTCTTCCCAGCAGTTGTTCCCAGCTTTCCCCAGTCTTTCCAGCACTCTTCCACCAGGTCCTTGGCCTGTCCCTCCTCCTCTCCCTGGGTGCAGAATCAAAAGGACCCCATTTCATTCTGCGCTCAGATCAAAACACCCGGAATGCACATCTCAGGGCAGGGACCGGCCATTCCAGTGCACGTCCCTCCAGCTTGCTAAAATGCAAGAAAATTGCGGTGAAATTCTATTTCTCTGCATAAGAAATTGAAAACAAGGTTCTTTTACCTCAGGGGTCCCTGGGTCAAAAATGGTCAAGGTGCAGCGGGTGATGATGGTCTGGTCAAAAGTCCACATGGCATTTCAGTTGTGCCCTAGTAACCTCCATCTTGGCTTCTTTTACCCCACCCTCCAGGCCTTTGTGCTTCTTCTGTTTGGTTTAAGCAATTATTTAACTGCGATGAGAATACGTTAGAACAAGAATATATATAATCTAGTTGTAATAATTTTGAATTCGACTAACTTGGCTTATTTCCCCCTATTCCTCACAGTTACGGCCGAAGAGGATGCGGATGTCCTTAAAGAAAGCGCGGAAGACAATCCTGAGCCTGCCATGCATAAGCAGGGTTGGCCTAAAAGCGTAAAGCAGTCTTCGTCCAGGCGGAGGCAAAACAAAGAGAGAAAACCAGGGTTTAAATTGAATTTGTACACCCCACCTGAGACCCCGATGGAGCCCGACCGTCAGGGGAAGGCAGAGGGGGCCGAAGAGGGGGCTGGAAGCAGCCCAGGCCCAGCTTCCTCCCTGCCAGAAAAAGGGGGAAACTCCGAACCCGTTTCCTCAAACGAGGGTGAAGGGAGAGATCCGGTGCCTGAGTATCCAGAGCTTCCCCGGACACAAAAGGCAGATGAGGTGGATAAAAGCAACGTGGAAATGGAAGGTGTGAAGAAGGACCGGCGAGAGGAGGAGACCCTGGAGAAAGAGGAGCCTGCGGAAGAACTTGAGGGGAAGGAGCGGTCTCATCGTGAGGAGGAACCGGGTGCTGAGGATGAAACCGAGGGCCACCCGGGTCCAAAGGGAAGGGAAACCGAGGGGTCTGCCTCAGGCGAAGCTTTTGAAGAAGTTCTTGAGAACCGAGAGCCTTTTTTAGAGCCCGAGGAACTGAGCTGCAGGCCAGACGAAATGGACTTGATGGACTGTAAAGCTGGCCTTTCACCCAAGGGTAGCAGTGACCTTAAAGAGCTTCCTGCTATCCTGGAACCCGGGCCTGACCCAAGAGAGGAAAGCACGGGACACTCCGGGGAAAACAGCAGCAACGAACTCAACGGTGTATTCAAGGAGACGGATTCAGAAACGCTGGAAATAGACCCTGAGACCATCCAGGCGGTCAAGTCTCTAACCCAGGAATCAGCGGAGCAGGAGGACCTCTTCCAGGACTGTGCGGAGACCCAGGAGGCCTGCCGGAGCCTGCAGAGTTACACCAAACCTGGCCAGAGTCCGCAGGCCGCTGCCTTGGAGGACTGTCAGCAGCCGGAGCACAGCAGCCCCGTTTCCTCCGTCCTTTCCCAGCCCAGCCAGTCGGTTTGTTCTGCCAGCAGCCCAAACGTCCCGGCGCTGGAAAACACTTTCGCTCAAATGGGTTCCGATCAGGGCGGCGTCTCAGTGTCCTCCATGCAGAATATGGAAACCAGCCCCATGATGGACGTCCCGTCCGTGTCGGACCACTCCCAGCAGGTTGTCGACAGCGGGTTTAGCGACCTGGGCAGCATTGAGAGCACGACGGAGAACTACGAGAACCCGAGCAGCTACGACTCCACCCTGGGCAGTAACCTCTGCGGGAACAATGCGCCGCAGAACAGCTGCCCATACAGCGCTCTCCCTTCGAGCAGCCTGACCCAGAGCAGCTGCGCCGTGACGCAGCCGAGGCCGGGCGTGAGCAGCAGCTGCAGTCTAATGCCCAACGCCGGCATCCACTCGCCCCCTCCCTGCAGCGTCAAATCCCCCCAGGCCTGTGGGGTCGAGAGGCCCTCCAGCGGCAGCCAGCAGCTCCCCCAGTGCAGCCTGGCCACCAACTTCAGCCCGCCTCTGCAGCTGAGTGACCTCTCTGAGGCCGGCAGTGCCAACGTTGGCTTGTACGAGCGGGTGGGCCAGGGGGAGTTTGGGGCAGGACATTACCCGCAGCCCTCCACCACCTTCAGCCTGGCTAAGCTGCAGCAGCTGACCAACACCCTGATGGACCCTTCGTTGCCTTACAGCCATTCGGCTGGCGTCGCCTCCTATGCAAACGGGGCCTCCCTCTCCCCCGCGCTCAGCAGCCCAGGGCTGGTGCAGCTCGCTCAGCCCCCCCACCCGGTTCCTGGAGGAGGCCAAGTGCAGGCCACCATGACCCCGCCCCCCAACCTCACCCCGCCTCCCATGAACCTGCCCCCTCCCCTTCTGCAGCGTAACCTGGCTTCCTCTAACGTTGGCTTGTCCCACACCCAAAGACTACAAACGCAGATGGCCGGCAAGGGCCATGTGTCCGTTAGAACTAAGTCGTCCTCTCTGCCGCCGCCACCAGCCGCCGCTGCCCATCAGCCACAACTTTACGGGCGCACCTCGCAGTCCGTGGCCATGCAAGGGCCGCCCCGCACCTTAACCATGCAGCGTGGCATGAACATGAACATGAACCTTATGCCGGCTCCGGCTTACAATGTCAACTCCGTGAATATGAACATGAACACGCTGAACGCTGTGAATGGCTATGGCATGTCTCAGCCGATGATGAACGGAGGCTACCACGCCAGTCCCGGTTACATGAATCAAACCGCCCAGTACCCCATGCAGGTGCAGATGGGGATGATGGGCTCCCAGACTTACGCCCAGCAGTCCATGCAGAGCAACCCCCACAGCAACATGATGTATTCCCCTCCGGCCCATCACGGCTACATAAACCCCAAGCAGTCTCTGAACAGCTCGTACATGCGGAGATAGGAGCCCGGGTCCCAAAATGCAGGGGAGGTGCTCCCCCCTTGCCCCCCAGCCAAGCCAGCCCGCGAGGGGAGGGGCCTGCCGAAATGCCGGCTGTTTGGGAGCGTGTGATTCAAAACCAGCAATTGGTGTAAATGCAAACACTCTGGTTTGTAGCACCATGAGAAACGTGTATGCAGAAGAAAGCCTTACATAACGTCCTTTTATTTTTATTTCCTTTGCAGTTTTGCTTTGTTTGAAATTGGCAGGTTTTTTTTAAACACAATTGAACTTCTGTGGTGCGAGAAAACTTGTGTTGCGAACATGCAAATTCAGCCGAGGGTTCACTGCCATTCTTGGATGTGCCTGTTCCTCTTTGCCCCCCCCCCCCCCCAGCTCTTCTGGAGGGCATCCGATCTTGTGCTGGCAGCTTCTCCCCTCCCTCCTCCCCCCCCCCGTTCAAGGAGCCCCCCTCACCCCTCCCTCGTCTCCACCGTGTAAATGCCTTTTCGCATTGCATCCATGGGTCATTTTATTCCTCGAGTGGACGCTTTTCGCATGCTGCTGTCTTTGTTAGTGACAGTGCGTTTTGTAGTACTGTACGAGTGTTGTGCTTAACAGTAAGCCATTTCCTTAATTGGTGGGTCTTTTGCCTTGATTAGGTTTTCCCTAATATACACACTTACATGCATACATACATATATATTTTTGCTAATTAGATTTTAAAAGAAAGAAAAAAAGCATTGAAAATGATTCCAATTTTGATTTGATCAGTTTCCGAGTGCAGTTCATTGGGAAATTCCTCTGTGTGGTTGCACAAATCTGATAAATTTTTCTTGGAGCTGATCCAGGAGACTATCACGGTGGAATGCACCTTTGAATGGCAAATATTTCATTAAAAGACAATTCTCCTTTTTTTGTTCAGATAATAGATCATTTTTGATTAAGAAGGGGGAAAAAGGCAGCTTACTGTTACATAGGGTTTTTTTTTTAAGATACAAACACTTATTGTTTCAAAGAAGCATATCTGTGTTTAATCAAGTTTTTGAAACATTTTCATATGCAAGTGAATTTGCAGGATTTTTTTTTTATAAAATTGTGAATTTGGTGTAAAGTTGCTATTTTACGGAAATGCCTCTGAACTTTACATTTTCATTCCATCTGTAGATTTTTCTATCTTTATAAAATATCGGAGTTATTTTTTAAGAAAAGTAAATAGGGCAGTAGCGTGTGAATAGAACAAATGAAGTTTAAAGAACGCATGTAAAAAAAAAAGCAAATGGTATTTGTGACCTGTTTATACGGCTCCCTTCCCCCCCACCCACCCCCCACCCCTTTCTTTGGTAGCCTTTGTACCTGTACAGAGTGACAGTATCGGGCCAAAAATGGCTCGATCCATGTTTTAAAAAATAGACACGGTGAAACTTCTTGTATTTATGTCAACTTTTTAGTCACTTAAATAAAACAAAAACAAGCTGTACATTTTAACATAAAAATAAATTATGAGCCACTTTAGCCTACTGTCTCGAGATAACTGGTGCAATTGGAAAGAAACGATGGAGCTTCCCGCCATTTGTTCTAGATCACAAGACCTGGCTCGAAATCTTGGAAATCCAGCAACCTCTCTCCGGAGGCTGCGTGATAACCTTGGCTGAGATGTTTATCTTTCCCTTGCTGAATCAGAGATAAAGGCAGGCCAACTCAGAGAGAAGCCACCTTACTTTTCATTCCCCACCTTCTACCCGAATGACGTGGTGCTTAAAAACATTCCCATCTCCAGGCTAGATTGCTGGGGAGGGGAAAGAGTGGGTTGAATTTCCCACCTCTCCCCCAAAGACTGTCGAGATTGGTCGACAATGGGTTGTAAAGATGGCTTTAGGGGTGATTGGGTGAGGCTCCAATGTTGGGGGAGCTTGGGTGAGAGAAAGGAGAGACAGATGTGGAGGTGTCTAATGCTCCGATGTTGCAAGGGAGGGTAAAGAGTTAATGAAGGATGTCTGAGATCAGTTGAGTTAGCAAAAGTGAAAAAATACAGCCTAATCCGGATAAAATAATGGCTATTCTAGCAGTCTAAGAGGATAATGTGTTAGATTTTTTTAAAGAAGGGAGAATAGGTTTAAAAGGTCAAGATGCCTTGAGTTGAGGTTAATTCCTGGTAACTGTATTCAGTGGCCTTGGTACCTATTTCGTTGTATTTTGATATTTCATGTTTTTGCATCATGCACACCTTTATTGCAAGGAGGCATTAGATCAGTGAATCGGTCTCTCTTTGGGTGCATTTTAAGCAAATAGTTGTTCAACCTTTACGTGAAATCCCATAAACCACCATGATAATTTGTTCCATTGTTGCTGGGCTGCTCTTCCTAACATTTAACCATGGTCTGCTTCCCCACATCTTGCTAAATGGGATAAATATCTGTTTGACATCCCTTCAAATACTTGAAGATTGACCCCTGGTCAACCTCTAGCAACCAAGCATAGCTGAATCTATCAAGCTCTTCAATTTCGTGAAGGATTGATTACTTTTTCAGTCTGGGACTTAAACCACCCGATTCCCACAGACAGGAGGAATAAGTGAACATAGTTTATAGGTAGTGGGATGTAGGTGAATGTATATATAAGACTGCTGAGTAATCTGATCACTAGAATAAAAACTTGCCTGATGTTCTTCATTTTGAAAACATGGATTCAGCACAAAGTTGTGCACTGTGTTTCATTAAACTGAAAATTTTGTAGGAAGGCTTCCATATAAATACAGCCTTTGTATCTTATTGTGCATAGATCGTTGGTCACAATAAAGGCACAGAGTCATTCGGGTTGACTAGCATAGTTTTGTGGGGGACATCTACTCAAATTAGGATAATCGGACTGAAAAGCCTATTAAGGAATTTTCACACAACCTTAGTATAATAAATGATTGCCGAAATAGAATTATCCATAAACAGATGATAAATTAATAGATTAATATTTAGCTGCGTTTTTAGTTTCTTTTTAGTCAATATTTGTGAAGGCCTGCATTAACAATTTGCTCACTGTTTAACTGCAATGCTCTCCATATTGTCGTTTTGGACAACGACAAAGTTTGGGGTAAAGCGCCAGCATGCAGATATCACAATACCTCGCTTCTAGGTTCATCTGATGTGGCTTTAGATGTCCAGAAATGATGTCTGGAAGACATTATGATCTACTGAAAATAAATAACTAAAATTAAATCTGAACAAGAAAAAATGTTCAGTGTTGAAAACCGGTCATGCTTGTAGCATTTAAGAATTTGAAGTCTTTCCCCATATCCCCAGAAACAGTGTCTGCCGCTGATTAAACGGTTCTGAGTTTTGTAGTCACTGCCTGCTGAATATCATGTTAAAATACGCAAATCCAAGATATTTCCACATGTTATTGAGGGAAGGTTAAGTAGAGTCCAATGTGGAGCTGGGTGATAAAGTATATAAAATAATTCTGACCAGGAACTTGGTGGGAATAAATGTGAGTGCTTAACCACCATCTATGCCAGGAACTTCCCAGGAGAAGCCCAGCAAGTGTTTTAACTGCTGTCTCTAAAAAACTCCCACAAAAGTACGTGTGGACAACCTAAGCTGGACCTGCTAATTTGCTTCTGGAGGGGATGCCTTGTGCCTCACTGGTTGTTCTTTAAACACAAAAGAAAACCCAGTGAAGCACAAATCAACATCCTCCAGAAGAAAATAATGAAGAGTGTTGACAGTGATAAATGATCTTAAATCAATCCACTACAAAATGAAGATCTCTTCATTGATGTTTATGGATTATAATTTTAACATGCTGCTCCGATGCAGTGGATAGTTAATGACCCAAAGGATTTCATCCCACAGTGGAGTGATTTAAGATGAGGATGATGGCAATGACGACCGTTGATAAGAGCAATGAGGATGATGATGGTGATCTGTTTTACATGCTACTGGCTCTCTGAGCAGATTGCTCTTCTTTTGGCACCCTAGTTGGGTAATAAAACATCTGCAAAGCCAGAAAGTCCCCAGGACTTCACAGTTTGACCCAGAGCTACACAGTGTATATATTCTCTTTCTGCACACTGTGGTACCCCAACTGGTTTAATACAGTATCCTCGTCAGATTTGCTTGCCGCTTTCCCTTCTCCTTGCCTATAGAAGAGCTGGCTTCCTCATCTTCTCCAAGGTCCCTCCATCCTTCCTTCTCTGCATATGGTCAAGCTGAAACTAACTTGAGACATTTTTGAAGGGCTACCAATTATACACCCCCCTCTCCGCTCCCACCTCGTTCCTTCCTTGGTGGGTAAAAACGACTCTCTTTACCTAATTCTTTCACAGTCCTTGATTATTTTGTACTACTTATTTTCAAAGAAACAGGGTATGTTAAATCTTTGGGTTGGCCTTCTCTTGGCTAGTGCTGAGCCTGCGGGCGCCATTTCTCCTTTCCAAGGCCAGCTTTATGTCCAGTTCTCGGAGCTGTTTCAGGAACCCGCGGTTTGGGAGGATGCACCTGTGCTTGAGCACCTGGCTGATGGCATCAACCACAGTCATGTGCTGGTAAATCATCAGGTAGGCTAAGACCAAGGCTGCCGAGCGGCTGCGCCCCATGGCGCAATGAACCAGAATCTTATCTGCAAACATCAAGAAACAGAGAGAGGGAGAGAGAAACCCCTGAGATACAGCATCAGAGACTTTGACTTTGTGCTGACAGGCTCTTGGGCAGGACACAGGTGGCCTCAGCAGCTGCAAGGATCTTGAATCTCTTAGGATCCGGTGGTGATCATCTTTTAAAGAATCCAGTACAGTGCTCCTCACGGACTTTAAGATTCATGAGAACAAGTGCTCTTGCAATCAGTGAAACAATGGGGATAGGGTCAAGCCACGTTTCAGTGGTGTAAATGATAGTGTAGACCAGGGTTCGGCAACCTTGGCTCTTTTATGACTCATGGACTTCAGCATAGCTGACTCAGCAATTCTGGGAGTTGGAAGTCCATGAGTCATAAAAGAGCCGAGGTTGCCTAACCCTGGTCTAGATATAGCTCATGCTTAGGAAGAGAGAGAAAGAGTGTGTGTGTGTGTGTGTGTGTGTGTGTGAGAGAGAGAGAGAGAGAGAATAGAAAAAATACCTTCCAAATCTTAGCACTGAAGGTCTGTTTTGTGACAAATTAGGAATACGCTTCAATTTTGTCTTGTACTGTTAAATTTAAAAGACAATGATAATTGTCTTTTAAGTAATTTTTCTAATCATAAAAATCAAATAGAACAATAGCAAATATTTTATTGACCATCACCTAAAGGTCACCTAGGAATCAAGGGGACTTTATTTTTAAGAAGGAATAAACAGGTCCACGTGTGGCTTATCCTCCTAATAGTAATACTGTAGCTTCACATACAAAGATGCAAGTAGGACCCCCTCCAGAAACCCCGGGTTCTACTCTATGCTTGGAAGGTGGAACGTAGGTGAAAATGAGGGGTACAACCCAACGCAAGATTCTTGTGCCTGTTATAGATTCTTCACCCAGAAGATGTCTACAGTGGGCAGTTTTTTAAAAAAATTAATTTTCTAGAGGTTTTTATGTGGGAGAGTGTTGCCACGGAAAGCCTTGGTCTTTAGCTCTCAGGATGTTAAAGAGCTTTCCAGAGTCTTGGGCGTAGGAACTCTCGAGTATTCTTATCCTAATTTATATCTGAATCGATCTTTTAAACTGAGCCCCAGATGGGGAGGGGCTGTGTGGTTGTAGCTTTCCAAGAATCTGGTGCGAATCATATTCCCCCTAAGGACTCCTCAACCCAAGGTGTAAGAAACTACCAGTGCAGAAGGAACATACGCATCGGTCGCTTGCAAGCATATGTGGGCTTACTGGTCTCATCCTGGAGGGCTTGGTGGATGAACTCGGCCGCAGAGTAGAAGAACTGGCTCAGATTGAAGGTGGGCAGGTCGTCTGCCTCCACTCCGTGGTACTGAATGGCCATGTCCTTGTAGTAGCTGGGCCCCGTGTCCACGTTCCACCGTCCGTGGGCTGCATTGAGGACATGGGTGAAGCCGGCTTTCTCAAGACTGTACCGATCAAGCGCTGTTTTCCTGCGTCAAAGCAGAAAAGGCTTTTGGGGGGGGCGACAACATACCAAAATGGCGGCCACAATGATATCCATCTTTTTTTTTTCCCTACGTGTGACCTGTTCAGAGGTCGTCAAGGCTCTGATCCCCACAGGCACAGTTGCCATCTGGGTTTTTACACCCCTTCCTAGCAAACGTCCCTGCTCTGGATGTACAGATAGTCCCCGACTTATTTGTTCGAAGTTACAACGGCACGGGAAAAAGTTTGTCGGGACTGTTTTTCCCACTTAAAACCGTTGCAGCATCCCGATGGTCTCCTTATCCCAATTCAGACACTTGACAACTGATTCACATTTGATGACAGTTGCAGTGTCCGTGGGATCAAGCGATCCCCTTTTGCGACCTTCTGACAAGCAAAGCCCATGGGGAAGCCAGATTCACTTAACAACCGCGTTACTAATTTAACAACTGCAGCAATGTGCTTAACAGCTGGGGCAAGAAAGGTCGTAAAATGGAGCAAAGTTCCTTTAACAATTGTCTCATTTACCAAAATAAATTTTAAGTAAGTCGAGGACCACCTGGAGGGGCAAGCATGGAAATCCCTCTGCGCCCAAGAGGCTTTTGGGGACCACTCACTCGTCTCCTATGTAGAGGCTGGGCCAGACTTCGTTGACATGCGTGTATTCGGGGCTTCCTTTCCAGAAGAGCCGCTCCAGATCAAAGGCTCCCGGCGTACAATAGTCGCTCTCGGGGTCAACTTTAACTGCTGCGTAAGCACTTATTTTTCCAGATTTCACAGCAGGTGAAGACATTTGGCCTCGAGGGTCCCAGGCTGGCCCGTAGAAAGCCCGGCTCCTGGAACAAGCAACAAGCAAAAGGTGAGATGGGTGGGAAATATACAGGCACCTCGATCGTCTGGATGGGTCAGCCCCTCTATTACCTTAGCTGTTGGGAAAGAAATTCTCGGCAACCAGAGAAAAGAAGTTCTTTTAATGGGGAAAAAGTTGAGCTTTCACCCAGGCCTTTGGGGAAGGAGACAGAGGCCTCTGCTTCATCGTGCTAGCGATCTTTTACCTTTTATTGATTTGGTTGTAATTTGTTTGTTACGAGCCACCCAGGGTTGTTGAGAGTCGGGGACCATACCTGTTTCATAATTTATTACTATTGCCACGGTTGGGCACAGAGTCACCCAGATGTTTAGACTGGATTTGACATTTCTATCCCTCTACTGACCTCTTCCCAAGGACCTGGCATAGGCAGGTGTTCTTTATTAATGTGGCAGCTCTTTCTGTCCCGCTGAAATCCCTTGAAGATTCACCTTTGAGCCAAGATGGGTTTTACTGCCAAGAAAGAAGGAGCTCCCTCAACCTTTGAAAGGCCACCTTGGTTCTCCTTGCCTGGCAAGACCAAACCTGCCTGCTTAGTTCTGCCAGAAGAGTCAACCTGGAAGTTGCTCCATAGAATCTCCCTCCACAGACAGTTCAACTGGCAAAGGGGCTCTGAATGCCCTCAACAATGTACAGTGCAAGGCAATACGCAAGAACAGTCCGGCATGTAGTGGCCCGGGCGCACCAGTCCCCTCTGAGAAGCTTGACAGACTGTGGTGGCGAAGAGGAGAAACTGCCTCCTAAATTTCTCTGGACCAGAAGTTTGGCTGACTCTCCCCAACTCTCAGGCAGGAACGGGCAGGGTTTCCGGGGCAAAGTCAAGGGCTCCGAGGCTCTCCGGATGCTTTTAACAGCCGGACTCAAAAGCCATCCGTTCAAAGCCCGATGGCAGACGTGGGGATCTGGAGGAGAGCCCTTGACACAGGCTGGGTTTTAGGGGAGGGAGGGAGCAGAGCTGCTTCTGGAGTGCCTCTGCTCCTTTCAAGGGGGCCGGTCAAGGGCCGCTCCGCAGGGACGGCCTGCAGTCCAGAAACTGCCCCCCTTTGCCAGTTAGACCCAGCCGTGCGGGGAGACAGAAGGGAGTCAAATGCTATGGTGGCTGTAGGGATGAAACCGTATTTAAAAAAAAAAGAGTACTATACACATAGAGAGAGAGACACACACACAGAGACAGACACATACAAAAACCCTTGGTTTTTGTCTGATCACGGCCACGGGGGAGGCTGCAACTGTCGTAAGTGTGGAAAACAGTCACAAGTCACACTTTTCAATGCTGCTGTAACTTTGAACAGTCACTAAACAAACTGTTGTAAGTTGAGGCTTGCAATAATAATAATTGTAATAGCAATAACAAATTTTAGATAAACAGTGAAGACTTAACAGAAGTTATACCCTATTATACTATCCTGTTCAAGCTGACTTAATACAAGAGGGAGGATGATTTAAAACCTTTCAAACTGCTGTTAGTTACTAATTGTTAGGCACACCTTGGCAGAAAGGAGGAATAAATCCAGACCATAAATAATAATTATTATAGCTATTTACTAGTGTTATTTCATTTTTATACTTCTGTTCTTTCCAAGGGGGACGGGAAAGTTTTACAGATGAACTGTAGAAAAAGAATAAAAACACCTGAGCAGCGATAAATAATCTATCCTCCAATAAAATATGGTAAATTGCAGAAAGTAGGATAAAGTTGATTTTTAAAAGATGCTCCTCCCTGTAAATGTTTGGGAAGGACAGACATTAATAAAAAGAGGAAGAACTAAATGGCAGAGAAGAAACACCCAGCAGTGAAAGAACACAAATGACACATTTTGAAAACTTTTTAAAAAGGATATAGTGTAATACACGAGAGTAATTTACAGATAATAATACATCCCTGCTAGGTTTATACATGAATGGCTAAAGATATTTATGTCTAGATTTAAAATCTGTTGAAATGGCAGTGTGGGTTGTATTATAGTATCACAGCTACATATGCCAAGGGGCATGGAATGCAAACATTTGTTTTTTAAAAAAGCAATGTAATCATAGAATCTTTATAGTGAGCCAAATCCAAACTCTGATCTGGGAAAATATATTCTCCTTCAAACACTTAACAGGTCCTAAAATGAAAGAGCAAGCCAAAAGAGAAAAGAAAATGAACGAATGGGTTAGTTACTCCAGCTATCCTCAACTGGATAATTCAACCTAAATTAACAGGATGGCCAAAAGATTAAACGTCTTGTTGGAATAAATAATTACATTTTAGTGTAACATATTCTTACCATTCAACAAGAGACAATGATTTGAACAGTTTTTGATCCAAGTCGTAAATGGATGAAAATTTTTCAGCAACTTCAATATGGTCCTATTTCTTTTCAGACAAGGCTTGGGTTTGTTTTTTTCAAAATAGGAAGATCAGCTTAAAAGCTGAAAGTCGGAGCCCAAAGGATCAAATTCAATCAGGAAACCTATTTATTTCAAACTATTACAGACTGTCTTTTAGACCGCATTCCGGTGTAAAGAAAACCCAACTCAGTATAGTTAAGTTGCAGAGTCATAAATTAAATGACAGACTAGAAGACCATTGAAAATCAAAACCAGTGTTTACATTTAAATATATTAGAACCAGGAAGCTAACAAGAGACATCTGCTGAAGGATGAAGTATCGTAAAATATTAAAGAAAAGCAGGGACTGAAAATTAATTCCTTTTCACTGCAAGAGATATTGCATAGAATAATGTTCTCAAACTATTGTTTATTTTATTTTATTTTATTTTATTTTATTTTATTTTATTTTGCAAGCTTCCTTATTCCCTGCCTTTCATTGGGGTGATCTGGGGGGGGGGGCATGCGTACCTAATGTTCTCACCTCCTATTTTTCCCACAACAATAGTTTTTTTAGATTTTTTTTACCTGCCTCATTTTTTATAAATAACTCAAAGTGGTGAACAACTAATATTCCTTCCTCTTCCTCTTTTTTCCCGATGACAACAATCCTGTGAGGTAGGTTGGCCTGAGAGAGAGAGAGAGAGAGGGAGAGAGAGAGAGAGAGAGAGAGGGAGAGAGAGAGAGAATGGCCCATTTGTGTAGCCCTTCATGCCTAAGGCGGGACTAGAACTCACCGTCTCCTGGTGATTGGTCCAAAATCGCCCAGCTGGCTTTCACGCCTAAGGTGGGACTAGAACTTGCTATCTCCAGCTGGCTGTCTCCTATGTCCCTATGTCACCATCTCTTAGTTTCTAGCCCAGCAGCTGAGCCACCAGATGAAGCAGAGAAGGGCAACTCATGACAAAGAAAGCCTGTGTTTCACAAAGAATCAACACATCCTCAAACATGCGCCTTTGGATAAGTTCTCCTAACTTTTGGGAATTAAAGCTCTATTTGCTATCTTGCTATTCCGATTGATTGATTTCCGTCCCAATCTTGCCGTGAAATCTGCTGTGATTTTCATGAACATTTCCTTCCTTGTTTAAAAAATGTAATGCATTTTTAAGGAGAAATGAGAGGACTACCTCCCCCCTTTAATTATTGCTTAAAGCCATTATGGGCAGATCTGCTGATGGTAACATCTATGTGAAAGAGACAAGGAAGGCTGGAAGCTGGAAATAATTCAGCAGCTCCCCAACAGCTTTGCACAATGCGATGTTTTATGCCCAGAACATAATAAGCAATTACAATCTATCGTTACCTTAATTGCAACAAACACTTCAGCTATTATTTGTTGTACTAACGGAGGATGAGCTGTTCCCTTCAGCGGTCTTCTCCTCCCTAAATTAGTCTTTGTACCAGGAATGAAAGTATAATTAGCACTGACACAACTTCTTTCCTTTGGCAGTCAAGGCATCTGTGGAGATCAAAATGGTTTCTATGAGAATAAGGTCAAAGCTCCACCCCTTGCATAGAATAAAGGGGCGGAGCTTTTGATCACCTGGATGTGACCACCATCTTGGCTCTCCCGATCCTTTCCTGTGGCTGGATTGAAGGAAATAAATTGGGGATGGGAGTGTTGGAAAGGAACTGTCCACTTCCGTCATGTCTTTGACACGGGAGGGAAAACACGAGCAAGCCTCGTATCTCATAGAAAACATAGCTCTGGTCATCTACCCATTCTCCAGTTTCCTTTGATGGAAGGAAGAGGAGAACAGCGACATCGGCTGAGTTTTCTTTGCTGATGGTTGATCAGACTTGCAGGGACAGCTAAAGCTCTAGAGATGATCCCTTTTCATCCCAGGGCATCATCAGAATATCTGCTCTGTTACCCATTTTCTTCTCGGATAATTCTCTTTGCCCAATTAGCCTTCTCCGGAGTCTAGGAGAAGCCTCTTGCTTCTCCATATCAAAGAATAGTGACCATTACAAAAGCCAGACTAATGACTAAAGATGGGTGGACTTCAACTCCCAGAATCCCCCCAGCCAGCCATGCTGGTTGAGAGATTCTGTGACCTGCACTCCACCCATCTTAAAGCTGCCAAGGTTGAGAAACATTGGTTTAGGACAGGGGTCTTCAAACTTGGCCCTTTTATGACTCATGGACTTCAGTTCCCAGAATTCCTCACGTGGTGTGGCTGGCTGAGGAATTCTGGGAGTTGAAGTCCATGAGTCATAAAAAGGCCGAGTTTGAAGGACTTCAGGAGATGTTCCTCTGGATGAGATAATTTTGGAGAGAACCAGCTTCACAGGCTCCTCACTGCTTCTTCACCAATGCAAGATGAAAAAAGAAAGAGCAGGAGAGGAAAGCTACAGGGACAAGGTGAGTCTTCTCCTCTCCCGAAAATCAAAACCAGAAGGCATTTTTACCTAAAGGAAATTGACAGTGTGAACTTCCAGCTGGTGCAAGGGCAGTATTGTGTCCTATTGTGCGATTGTTAAACTGTGCATTGTACACCCCAAAGCATTTTGGCATTCATAATCAAATTTGTCAGACATTTTAACGGTCTTTCTGTTGCAAAACCTAACCTGGGCAACCACTGAAAACATTGTCCAGTTTCTTTCGTTATTAATTCCTTCAAGTTTGTTTGTTTGTTTCCCCCCCCCCCATATTTTACATTTTGGAACCTGGGACCGCATGTAATAAAAGAAAGGAAAGAAGAGCTAAATAATTCGGCAAGTCAGGCCGTCCATGTCCTAAGAAGGGGAGGCTGGTAACTATCCGCCAGTTCCAAAAATCTGCTTGTGAGTGTATTCCGCCTTCAATTAGAGAGAAGGGAATGTCCAAAATGTTTGCCTTGCTTTTAAAACTCCAGGCGTGCCTATCAAGTCGGCTCTGGAGCCCACATGTGAAAAGCAAAATGTGTTGCCAAGCTGCCATCCTTTCAAAAGCCTGGAGAGATTTCAAACGGATATTTTGCAGCTCCCGATGACCGCTCTGAGGAAACGTCGTGGGTTTCTTCTGACCTGGCCTTTATGAGGAACTGGGAAAAAAAGAATTTAGCTTGCGTTTGGACTGGGGGGGGGGGAAGTGCCTCTGATCAAATGATGCAACACATGGAAAAGCTTGGTACGAATTATTTCAGGGACTGGGGTGGCCCTTGCATAAATCTCTCATGAAAATCAGGACATCCATGCAGAAATTAGAAAGGGG